GGGTCCAGAAACGGGCGACAGTGTAGGGAAGAAGGGAAACAAGCCTGCGCAAGTGCCGCGCAAGACAGAGCTATCGTGTAAGATGAGGTGGACGACGTTGTCTGTGACAGTACCTCACGAGGATACCAAGGAGATTGCCGACGGCGCCGAGCGATCGGAACGCAACATCAGAGTTGCGCCGCAGTTGCGCCGGACCAATGGGATGCCGAGCTTGCTGTTGAGGGTGTCCACAAGCCTATAACGTCTCAATTAAATTGCATAGATTGAAAACAAAATCCATGGCTCCAAGGGGCTTGGAGCCATTGGCATATAGATAGTCCTTGATTGTTTAAGGTCCCTCACATTTAAGGCACTTTTTGTGTAGGTTGAGTGCATATATGTATGACATGTGTTGTTACTGTTTGATAAAGCTGCAATAGAGTGAAAATAGTGATTGTTGCCTTTTTATATGTCTGATTTCCAAGAAGAGAACGATGAAAGTCATTGCTGTGAGTAATTAAAGTGGACATGCGAAAAGGAGACAGGTGGTAGTTCATGAGAGGGCCAAACGGAGTGTGGAGGGTGCTGCACTTATATCATTGCTGGCATGCTGTTGAAGTTGCGGCGGAAGTACGGTGATGCGGCGCGGAGCGAACCATCAATGGGTTCCAAAACTAGTTGAGTATCCCAACTGTTCTATCGATCGCATTACATCCACAACCTAAGGAGAATGTCCATGATAGAGCTCTTGTTTGCGTGCTGTGAAGCCGGCATGGTGAATCGGTGCAGCACAGTAAGCTCGAAGCGGCGACGGCAGATGCCCGGCCATGCTTGCCAGGTCACATTCCGTAGCTGATGATGTCTCGGGGGAGCCTCGCGCAATACAACATGGAACAGAATCAGCAAATGTATGCGCGTCGGACGCCGATGAATGCACGAATACTCGAAATTCGCCTGCTTCAAGCTTCCGCCAGTGATCATGCCAGCTTCATTGTGTTCTCGCCAGTCCATATGACGTTCGTCATAGCGCCATAGATTCCATAGAATGCACGCCAGACAAAGACTGCTCTGCACCGGTTCCAGTCGCTCGTCCATGACACGTTTCAGCCCCGTATGAAAGTTGACGGTAGCGCGGCGCCAGTTAATGTGCAGCATAGAAATCGTCGTCCATGTATGCACGCCGATGTGGTCAGAGAGTTTGAATTCAATCGATGCTCGTAGTTTCGTACTTTGAAACAGACGACGAGTTTGATGAGGACCTGTACTACTATGATAAGAGGGCTGGAGTAATGAAACTCATCGAGTTATTCCTATGCTCACAAAATAGAACAGATCGTCGTCCTGCGGTAGATATGGCATATCTTTCAATGAGCTTGGCGCCGTTCTGAGAGTTTCGTTATGAACCGAGACGTGGGTTTTTAAGTTTCAATCCAAGAGCTCACTTGAGCTCGACGTAGGCAGCAATATTCCTCGGACTGTCGGGAGATGCGGGATGAGGCCAACACATTCATCCAAACCAAAGTAATGCAGTGCCCGCTGTTTCTCTGACTAGCGACTGTTGACGCAACGCGGCATCTTTCTCCCTCGGCAGCGAATTTGAGAGGCTGCGGATAACCCGAGTAGAAAAGGGGATGCTCACCGGATCCAGATGCGCAGCATATTTCCCTCCTTGGGCGACTCTCTACGCCCCGCCTGCCCCTCTGGTCCTGACGAGTATGCAAGCGATGTCTCCCTCCCACGATCGACTAAGACAGGGCGGCTTGGGGTGTGCGGCGCTCGTATCGAGAGGGCGACCCAGGCACGCGTTTCAACAGCAAGCGTCGCGGCTGCAAGAAACAATGTGTAAGGCGATGGGCGTCGGCGGCGAGGTGGATGCATGCAGGGATGATGGCAACAGAGACCGATGCGGGACGCGTGCGCGCGCGCGCTGAAAGCACAGGGTGCCACGTCTTTTGCCGTGCTGTCCTTGCCGAGCTCAGCGGATCTCTTCCCATCTCCTGTGCCATTTGGTTTCAGCGTCGAGAGAGGTGATGACTACGCCGCCTGTACCGCCACGCCCGTTCAGCGAGTACGACGAGTACCTCGACCACTACGCCGAAACGAGTGCGTCGCCGCCCGCTGTCCCTCCCCTCCCTCCCGGCTTCAATCTGGCCGAAGAGTCATCACCACACTACGAAGACCCTCTCGTCGCTCCCCGTCCTCACAAGGTCCAACCTGATCTCCCAGCGAACGTGCGTCAATTGCCATCACTTCCTGCTGATCATCTTGAAACATTCGACTCATCCAAATTCAGATGGCTCGCACGCTCGACGAAGTCGTCATTTCTCCCTCACAGGAGACATTTGAACGTGGCAGATCCCCAGCTCTCAACCCAGCTCCTGGTTTTGCAATGTCTCCTCGTTCACAAAGTCGAAGTCCCGCCCCTCCTGCTCAAGGCGGCGACTGGAATCCGTGGGCACCTGCAGCGATGGCTTCTGCGCCTTCGACCCCTCACTACCTCCCCAACGGTCACCAGCTGTACCATACCAACACACTTCCTGCTTCCTTCTCTAATCTCTCCTTAAACGATGCACAGCAGCCAACTCGTTCTACATCCATCTATTCTACCCATGGCCCTCGAGGGCCTCCTCCACAACAGCCTGCCAACACCGCAGCCCCTCCTTCGCTCACTGCACCGCTTCCCACGATCCCGAGCCTCCTTGCTCATTTGCCTGCCATTCAACAACCATCGTATGATCCTGCTGCTAAGGTCGCCTGGTGCCGCGATGTGCTTGCGCTTGTCGATCGCGCCCAGCAGCTGATTCAGTCCGATTATACTGAAGCTGCCATTGACCCTCCTATCGGGCCTGCTCGCATCGATGACCCCGAACTTCAGCGCCTTGTGGATGTCGCTGTACCCCTCATCATCCAGCTCTCTTCCGTGCAGCAACCGACGAAGCAGCCCTATGTTGCCGAGGCACTCTATTTGCTGGCACAGTGCGAGTCGACCGGCGCGTACCCGCAATACATTCAACGCGACCCACGCATGTCGTTCAGGCACTGCGAACAGGCTGCCAAATCTGGCTATCACCCTGCTTGGTTCAGGCTGGGTAGGGACTACGAGAACTTCAAAGACAACGAGCACGCCCGCCAGTGCTTCGAGCGTGGTGTCAAACGCGGTGTTGAGAGCTGCATTTACGTGAGTCTGTCTCTGACGCCCTCCCCAGTCTTCGGTCTTAATCGGACGTCTAGCGAATGGGTATGGCAAACTTGATGGGACAACTTGATCTTCCGGTCAATGCCGAGTCCGCCTTGCCCCTTCTTCATCGCGCGGCTACGCTCGCGACCATTGAGGTGCCTCAGCCTGCCTATATCTACGGTCTCCTTCTTCTAAACGAATTTGCTCATGTCAACATCCCTCCTGAGCTCTTTGCGCCGTATATTCCGGCAGGTTCTAGCCCTCAATTGGAGGCACGCAAGCATTTAGAGCGTGCGGCATATCTGAACTTCGCCCCCGCTCAGTACAAGCTCGGACACGCCTACGAGTTTGCGATGCCGCCTTTCCCCTTCGACGCTCTCCTGAGCGTCCAATACTATTCGCTAGCGAGCCAGCAAGGCGAAGACGAGGCAGACATGGCTTTGAGCAAGTGGTTCTTGTGTGGATCAGAAGGTGCTTTCGAGCGCGACGAAGCGCTGGCGTGGACGTTTGCAGAAAAGGCGGCGAGAAAGGGCCTCCCAAGCGCTGAGTTCGCGATGGGCTACTACGCCGAGGTGGGTGTGGGTGGTCCGAAGGACATTGAAGTGGCTCAGAAGTGGTATACGAGGGTACGTTATCATGCTTACGTTGTCCTGCACTTGCGCGCTGATTCATTGCTACCCTACGAAGGCCGCTGAGCACGGCAATGTTGATGCTTCAGACCGTCTCAAGGCCTTGTCTCAGCCACAACCGGACGCCTTGTCTCGCGAGCAGCACGAGACGCTCGCCGACACTACTATCGTCCGCAAGCGCACACTAGCCAGGCAGCGTTCGGAGGCTCGGCGTGGAGTGGGCGGCCCACGCCCTCAGGCCGGTCCCGCTGCCCAAGGTCGGGAGCTCGTCAACAACTTGCGCCAGCAACACCCGATGGACCCACGTGCAGGTGCGAGGTCTCCGGCGTCTCCTGGTTTCGCGCCTCCTGGTGGCTACCCGCCGAACGGCGTTGTACCTCCGAGTGCTTCGGCGCCACAGCTCAACGTATCTGGAGGATATCCTACGCGTGCCCCGGGTCAGATTCCCCCCAGTGCATCCACTCCGCAGCTCGTCCCAGGCGGAGCCCCCGGACAAGGACAAGGTGGTCTTGCACCGCCGCGCCCATTCGCTAATGCCACGCGGTACAGTTTGGTCGACCCTGGTGCTTCTCCCGCCCAGACACGTAATCCCAGTCGACAGAACTCGACCAGTAGCCAGAAGGAAGCAGAGGCCCCTGCCGCGCCTGCGGCCCCTAAGCCACCAGCTCCCAGGACATTCGAGGAAATGGGAATTTCGACTGCAAAATTGGAAGAGAAAGAATGCATTATCATGTGAGGGAATGGCGAGTGTCTTCTGTCTGGTGCTTTCAGCGTTTTCGAAAGAGGTGATGTTTTGTTTCTCATGCTAAGTGGTAGTACTACGCTCAACCCTTATACCGCTGTGTGCTGTTGGTAGTAATCTTGTGCTGATTCTCGTGGACGTCTCGCATCTAATCAGTTATGGCCGTGGATCACCCTCATGGATAGTCTCAGTAATCTCCAAAATTCGGACATGCTAGCATAGAATCGTAACCACGTCTCATTCAATCGAACTACTACACTACTTTCCCGAGGCATCTGATGAGCTGTGTGGGCCTCGTCCTGGTCGATCCGTAGGTCACGATGGATGTGGTTTTACCCGGAGTCTCAATCCACCCCCTTTAATCTGACTCGAAGCCATCCCCGCTCTCTGTCTCTCCTTCATGGCTGCTGCTTTATCTGGTTCACAACGCGCTATCCTGTGGTACCCTCCCGCGTACGATATCCGCGTGGAGACGGTGCCGATTCCTCAGTAAGCGCATCATTGGAGTATGTTTGAATCGTTGCTCTGCTTACGCTTCGGCGCCGTCGGTGATCTGTAGGATCATTGACCCAGATGATGCGATCGTCAAGATCAAAGTGAGAAATTAAAATTAGGTGGTTCGCAGAGTCCTCAAATCATTATCACACTCTAGCTAGCGGGCCTATGCGGAAGTGATCTTCACATCTACAGAGGGCACGAGGATATCGATAAACCGTAAGTGCCGGGCATCGTCATCGAGACTCGTGAAGTCACTGAGCGGCGTCCGCTTTAGTTTCATATGCGGACATGAGCTAATTGGTGAAGTTGTCGCGCTGGGCTCCAGCTTTCATCCAAATGCGACCGGCAGGCCGGAACTATATTCTACTTTGCAAGTCGGTGACAAAATCGTCTCCCCCTTCACTGTCACATGTGGCGAATGCCAGTAAGACTTCTTTGATGTATCGCTCGAAGGCTTACAAAGTCTGAAACATACTTCCAAATTCTTTACTAGTTTCTGCCGAGTGGGATCCACATCCCGTTGCATTCACTCTAGCCTCTTCGGAACTCCTTCTCTTCCTGGAGGCCAGGAACAATACGCGCGGATTCCGAAGGCAGGAGGAACACTTTACAATCTGAATGCGTTGTCCTCTGCACCACTAGATGTGTCTAAGGTCGCAGAGAGTTCGCTCCTGTTGCTCGCAGATATCCTCCCTACGGGTGTGTTCGCCGCTCTACAAGTCCTGCAGCATCCCAAGCTATCTCCCATGCTGACGGGTTTACCGTATCCTTGGAGCTCGAATATTCCGAGTGGCTATGACTGCGCTGGGATGAGTTCTGCCGTTCGAGACGATGACAGGAATATAACAATCGCAGTCGTTGGGCTAGGCCCAGTCGGAGTAGTGAGTGGAATCTCAATTAATAATTCGTTCTCTTTGATGAGCTTGGGATAGTGCGCCACTGTGAGCCTGTTGGACATGTTAGCAAGTTTACAGAAGGAGCGTGGGATTACGTACCGGGTCGTGGCCATCGACCCGAACGAATCGAGGCGGACAAAGATGCAAGCCGTGCATACCGCAATCGACGCTAAGGACAAACTGTCGGGAGAGGTGGTCGTAACATCAATCGAAGAAGGAAAACGCATTGTCGCTGAATGGACTGACAACGCGGGATGCAACGCCGTCCTGGAGGTAATGCTTTCGTGCTAGATTACTAAATCAACATTGATTAACTCGTCGCAGGTTGTGGGGAACAACAGTGCTCTCACGTTGTCATACGAGCTAGTGTGCCCCTTCGGTGTCATCAGCTCTGTTGGAGTCCACCAAGAACCGCCGCTACCTTTCACCGGGCGTGAAATGTATGCCAAGAACGTCTCATTTGACTTTGGACGTTGCCCGGTCCGCGCTATGTTTCCGATTGCCCTCGAGATACTGCTGCGGAGGCAGGATGTGTTCGGGACAGTTGGAGAGACTACTAGCTTGATAGACAAGATCGTCGGCCTCGACCAGGCCGCGGAGACTTACGAGATGTTCGATAAAGGGAAGTGTGGCAAGGTTTTATTCGATCCCTGGCTGTAGTGTAATACTCAATGAGCACCTTTTTCCCTTTCCAACCTGCAATCACTATCCACTCCGTCGCTTACACCGTTTCCGCGGCAACGTATGTAAAGCTTTATAGTCCTCGTCAAGCGCTGTTGCAGCGGCCGTTAGGCTCACGCTCCACTCGGTCTGCGCGATGTTATCAGTAGTTGTATCCAGAAGGAATATCATTGAATGAGTGTTGATATAGCACAAGGCCTAGCAGCAAAATAAGGTGATGATTCGGCACCACAATGACTCCAGAGTATATGAAAGACTAAAGTATCAACCAGTCCACACAGCAACCCCAGAAGAAAATCTTCGCGATCAGCGGGTCATAAATCAGATCCCACAGCATCCACTACATATAATACTTGCTGCGGCCTAACGAACAGCCCTCTTGACTCAGAGTTTGAGGCGTCGGATACTGAAGGAGATACGCTCCGGAACCTCTTTGCCCGATCGATGCTAAGCTGATCCCCCTCCCTCTTCAGCGTGCCCTTCGCATCCCGCCCGAGGTTGTTGACCCAGTCGAATCGTCGGCGCCTGGCCATACGGTCGTCACCGTAGTCCCACTCCGATGGACTGCCAATATCGAAATAGCGAATGCCTCCCCACGTGCCATCATGCCATTGACGGCCATCCAACTTGTCCTCAGGCCAGCTGTCGTCCACAGGCACCTCGACACCGACCCACGGGCCCCTTTCACCCTCAACTTCACCGATGTATCGTGCGTAAGCGCGGAATCGAGCCTTTTTCGACGATATTATGCAGGGAATGCCAATATCAAGGGTTGCACCTCGGGGTATATCATTGGCTTTCAGAGTGTCTGTAACTTCCTTGATAGTATCGGAAGACGTTTTCCTCTTCAGCGACTCTCTGATGGTAGATGTACTTGCTGCACTCCCTTCTTTCTCATGAACGCGTACCGCAGATGCTCTGTTTTTGCCCTTAACATCGCCCGTAGCATCATCCGCTGCTGTTTTTGGCGTCCTCTCAGTCTTTCCATTTGCAGCTTGTTGCGACTCTTTTGAAGAGCCCCTCGCGGGTCGACGTGTTGTCGTCACAGATGCCGTCGATACGGCAGACCTGACTGATGGCGTCGAAGACAACGTTCTCCGCGTGGCTGGGCTGGATCTCATATGATCCACAGGCGATGGCGGCGGCCGATTGACCTTCACAGACGGTGCACCGGTGCTCGTTCTGGTGGCGGTTGATGGTGGTCGAGATCTCGCCACCCTGGGGGTTGAGGTGCCAGTTGTCCTGGCACTCGTCGTCGACAGAGATGATGTCGTTGAGCCACGGCGGCTGCGTCCAAGAGAGCCAGCACGCAAGTCTGATTTCGCCGTCTCAAATGCTGTGGAAGCCTCGCTGATATTAGCAGACGTAATGGACGTAGTGGACGCAGGCCGAGACAAGGCAGACGATGGCCGCAATGACGAAGATCCAGGAGTCGTCTTCCGGACTGTTGATGTCGTTGTCTGCGAGTTAATGGAGGTGGTACTGGACCGTGCTTTGGATGCCCTCTCGTGCGGAGAGGTCGCGCTGGACGCATTGCGTCGCGTAGATGACCCAGAGACGCTAACTGATGAGCGGGCATCGTATGTCTTCATGTCATCACCAGCGGTATGAATGGATCGGATAGATCGAGTGGTGAGACCGTTAGACCGATCTGGCGTGAGCTTTGAATCGGGTCGATGGCTTGACTGCAGTGTGGACCGCCGTGGCAACGACGCAGGGCCAGCCTTGGATAATGTAGAGTGCGTGCTTCTCGCTATTGACCTCACAGACCCGCTCGACCCTCTTGTAGGATCGCCACTTTGTTTGGTGCTGCGATTTGGACCGCCCGTGCGTAGCGAGTACATGCTGACGGACTCGTCGTCGCCCTTGACTGCACTGTTTCTGGTGCTAGCTCTCGCTCCTGCTCGCTGCGTTGTAGTGGGAGCGACGGCACCGTACATATCATCCATTGTTATTTCGATTTCTAAACATAAACAGTGTGTCAACGTCATGATCGTTGAGCAACGTGACAAACATCCGCACCGTGACAGATTTCCTGCGCTGCCCACGGTTCAAGACCGTCGAAGCCGCCCTCTTGTTTCACGTTAAGCCATCGTCTGCGTAACCATCGACAGACATCCACGCGGGTTTGTTCGACGGAAACGCGAACGTGAGAGGTAGGAGACAGCATGGCTTCCTCAACCTCAGTCGGATGGGGACGCAGCAGGACGGACGAAACGAGAATCTGTCAGAACGCATAAGCGGCTTGTGATGCATAAGCATAGAGAATTTGACCTGGTAGAGCATAGCAGCGTTCTTCTCGTTCATACCCTGGCGGACCGCGTCCATGATCCAATCTACCCGCTGCGCATCCTCAAAGCGCGCGCCATCCGACTCCATGATAACTAACCACTCCGGCTGCTCGAAGCAAGCCTCTGCTTGAGAGCAAAGTACATCGTCTATGGTCTTGCGTGCCGTGTGGACCATGTCCTTGACAATGTCCCCCCAAGAGTCGATCACTGTGTTCAGTTTATTCAGCGCGGCGTGTGCGGCATACAACAACGGGAAGACGTTCATAGGCGTTGACCGCTTCGCCAGACCTTTCAGCAATCCATCTCGCGTCTTCTGTGGTAGATGCGCGAACTCCTGGGTGCACCAACCTTCGCCAAAAAGTCCTACGAGGGCGCGTCGTGCGCCGCGCTCCAAATGAGTGTTCTTAACATCGTCTTGCAGTGAGAATTCTAATACGCGAGGCGCTCGTCGTGCACATTGGCGACATCGACACCCTCCGGTGCCCCACCTGCCGCCTGTGATAGCTTCATATTCAGAGAATTCGAGGAATGCATGGAAGAGGCCGTGCATCATCTCCTGGACGATGCGTGCCTGAACCTCGTCATACAGAGTGTCAAGGGATAGGTATGCTGCAGAACGCATGATGTGAAATGCCGTGTCTAGATCAAACGTTCGGTTCGAGAAAGCAAGAGTCCCGGTGTAGAGGAAGCCGAGAGTGAAGTGTAGAGACGGTGGGGTGAACGGAGGAGAAGGTAGTGTGAGTGTAAGAGGCTCTCCAGGTTTCTGATTTACGCCCCAGGACAGCAGCTGCGTCTGGAAGTACGGCGTACGAGAGACGAGGATGAACCGATGTGACGAGAAGATGGCGCTGGAATTCTCGTGATTCGTCGAGGAAAAACTGCCCGTCAGAGCGATACGTACGTCGGAGTAGAGACGAGAGCGCCACATGAAGACGAGATCCTTACGAAGTTTGTCGATGCGAGCCTCCTCTCCGTCGCCGTCTTCTCGGCTGTCTGAGGAATCAAAGAGGAACTCGAACGCTTCGCCGAAACCTTTGCCAGTGTAAAGGTACTCCAGCTCTCCGGAGAACAGAGTTGGGTTGATGGGGATGGGGATGTGAAGGACAGCACCCGTGTTGGCGGACGGGGAGGGTGACGGCGCTTGGTAGGGAGAAGGTGAACGGGAGACAGAAGGATAGTCTACGTTGAGGGGGAGAGGGAGAGAGAGAGCGGACTGTACTGGCAATGTACCGGTGGGTGAGGTGGAATAAGGAAGGGGAGAGACGGGTGGAGGCGGTTTGAAGGAGAAATAGCGGGCTTGAAAGCTGGGTGGTGCGCGAGCATATACGATGGCTGCAGGATAGTTCGCGGCGAAGTCAGTCAACGATGCATAGGCAGACGACAGGCCCACAAGTTATGCATCCAGCGGATGTGACGAATTGTTGCGAGGAGAGGGGTGCGCTTTGGCACAAGACGCGTAGAACATGGACAGGATGCCATGACAAGACGTACCCTTGTGGCCCCATATTTCCTCTACGCCTCTCGAATTCATATCCTGCTCATCAAAGAGCTCCCAGACGACGTCAGGGAAGCGGTCTTTGGCATGGTCGAAAAGCGCCTTGAGATCATCCTGCCAGGTGACAGTCGACCTGCGGGTGGCCTCTTGGAGGGCAGGCGGGGCGGCGGTAGAAGGGGCCATCAGGCGGGGCGAAAGGAGAGGGAGGAAGACGGCAGTGGTGGGAGGAGAGAGAAGGGTATCGGGCGAGGAGGAAAGGGGGAGTGCGGACTGCAACGAGGAGCCCAACGTTGCGCGCGAGCTTGGACTGGGATGACCGATAACACTTGTGTCTTAGTATAGCACGCGTCTCTTTGCTTCCGTGCCACTAAGTCCTCAACGTCGTCGTCGACGAGCATGCCGCCAATGTGCCCCTCTCTCGCTGATGCTCGACGTGCGCGCTCTGACACTGCTCTTCGTCCAGACGGGACAAATTCACGATACACTCTAAAGCGGTGGTCTGCCAGGACGTCGAGCTCAAGGGAGACATCACCATCGGCGCTGGTCAGTGCGCCTGCTGCCTTGCTTTCTCGGCTGGTGGAATGATACGCTCTCATTAGGGACTATTGTGCACCCGAAGGCGACCATCTTTGCGATCGCTGGCCCAATTGTTATCGGCTCGGGTTGCATCATCGAGGAGGGCGCAATCATCGTGAATCGGTGAGCATATACGCGTACACCGTATGTTCTCTGGTCGACGCGTCGACAAGACGGAAGGAAGTGATGCGCATTGGGGATGACAATCTGTTCGAGATCCATTGCCGTACGTCGCTGTGCCTCCTTGTAATGGTGCCGCGCATCTCACACATTCTCTAGGAGTCGAGTCGCCCAGCATCGGGAACTTCAATACTGTTTCTGCTCGCGCCCGAGTGCATCACACCGTCCGCATCTCTTCATACTGTGTGATCGGTGCAGGCTGTCTCGTCGTCCCGACAGAAGACGAAGTTCTCGACGAGTACACCGTCATCTATGGCCCCGCTGCTGAGCGTCGCATCTGGAGCGGCAGAGGCAAGATCCAAGAGGCAGATCTGAGGAGGAAACACGCGGAATATCTGAAGGAGATGTTACCCAAGTTCAATCGTCTACGAAGGGGTGATGGGACATAATATGTCTTCATTTCGTGTCTATTCTTGCTGTAGCATACGGGTCCTATCAGGGCTTGTTTGTATCATCATTTTCGTACCTCTTAGGAGGTAGATATCATGGATGTCGTCATGTTTCTCCAAAGCGGTTGTCGAGATATCACTCAGAGAGAGCACCAGGAATGCATCGCCAAGGATTAAACTTGTGTATATCTTCAATTATGACGCAACATAGCAACTAATTTATAACAAATGGAGCAGAGATGTCCTCACCACATAAAATCTACTCACAGCCCGGTAGACAGAATATGCCAATGCGTGAAGCGACGAGGTGAGTATCAATATATGCCCCGTTTCCCCTAACCGCCGTCCACGGAAAACGGACGACGTAGTGAATATGGGGCAACGAATCCTCACACTACAAGGCAAATATCAGTCCCGAATCGTATCAAAACAAACCGTTTTAAGAAGACACCATAGAAGCTACATAATACATGGGAGAATCATGCCTTAAGCTGCGCGCGGAGGTTGTTCTCGAGGTTGCCCCTCGGGCGGATATACTGAACGTAAGCACCATCCCTACGCGTGGCAGCGTGAGTGAAACATTCCCACGAACAGCAAGCGACGACGTACTGCCACACACGCTTCTCCTCCTTCAGCTTCAAGTAGTCCTCACGGTTGACGTTCGTGAAGCCCCACTTGCGGGAAACAATGATCTTCTGGCGGCCAGGGAACTTGTACCGCGCACGGCGGAGTGCCTCCTGGACAACCGCCGCATTCTGGTCCTTACACCGGATGGACAGAATGATCTGGCCAATGTTAACACGGGCGACCAAGCCATAGGGCTTGCCCCATGCGCCGCGCATACCAGTTTGGAGACTGGCATGGTCTCAGGTGAGAACAATGGTGCGATGTGAGACGCGGGCGTACCGATCGGCACCTGCGCAGGATAACATCTTGTTGATACGTAGGACGTGGAAGGGATGGACGCGGACCCTCAAGTGGAACGAGTCCTTGCCGGATGTCTTGGTGACATACTTGTTGGCGCAGATACGGGCAGCCTCAAGCGCCTCACTCGACAGCTGCTCGTACTCGTCCGAGACAAGGTGGCAGCAGAATGGGAACTCGTCGACGGAAGCACGCTTACGCCCAAGGTCGAAGATGCGAATCTAGAGACATTCTGATAAGTGCGATTGCAGTGCTCAATAAAGGCATTCACAAACCTTCGAGTCCGGCACACCGCGATTGTATCGGGATTTGGGGTAGGGCTTGTTCTTGCAGTAGCGGTAGCAGCGAGCGGGGCGACGACCCATCTTGATTCTGTGACCCAAGCTCCCAAGTGAGAATTCACGTCATCCGAGCGAGACCAGCCACATCCACCCTCCCGTCGTCGCTTTACAGCGAAAATTGCCGCAAAACGACACCGAGAGCATGACAACAGCAAAACGGACACTCACGGAGCTGGCGGTGAGTTGATGAGGGGAAAATGTGGGGAGCGCACTTGCGAACGTCGCCTTTTGAGCCCGAGTGAGAGATGACAAACGTCCTCCAACTTGGCTGAGTAACCCGCCGGCGTTCCCCGGGACGCCGGCCGGCACGGAGCCTTTTCTAAGAACGCGTCGGTGGCGCGCGCCTGCCTCCGTCGGCGATGTGGCCTCCTTAATCTTCGCACTGGCTCCAATCTCGTCTCATCAATATCAATGCTCGGTTTTATTATTATCAAATGTGGAAATGAAACAGTTCTATCGGCGGAAAGCCTTTGCAATTACCAGGTTTCATTCTATATCGAACAAATGCGGCAGTAAAGCTTCATAACACTCTGCTGATTTGACGGCTTCCACCTATCTCCTCGTCACTTGGAATCTTTCCTCATCGACCTGGATGTTCATAGATTGCAACACGTGTGCTGCTTCCCGCGCAAATTTCTGGTCGGAAGGGACGCTCTTGCCTGAACCTCTGGCAGCGCTATACTCACGCTGCATCGTGCTTTTAATATCTCACTCCTTCTATGCAGACGCACTTACCGGTGCGGAGAATATTACGGTCGCGGACGCCTTGGGTCTTCAGATATGAGCAGATGACGTCTCCCCCTCTCAGCTCGCTTTCCCTGGGCCTGCCACGCCCTGCGCCCACTTTACAATGTACCACCACCACAGTCTTCAGCGCCCGGGGCATGCGTGGATTCCTCGCTCGTCGGAGGGCATGCACCGCATGTACAGCTCCGCGCCTGGCTACTACGATGGTGAATCTTTTGAGCGATGATGCACGATATGGCGAACTGACTCTGCGCTCAGCGCCTGAGATGCGTATGGTGTACCACCACGCACAGCCGATGCCGCAACCACCGATGATGTACCACCCTCAGCCTATATACCCTCATCCTAACCGTCTCGTCCGCCCACAACCTCGTCCCGTCCTATGCTACGATAACTGCTGCTGTTGCGATGCCTGCTGCGATGAATGTTGCGGGTAAGTGATCCTTCGCAATCGTGGTTGATGCACATTGCTTATTCTGCACAGACCCGAGTGTTGCTGCAACTGCTACTGCTGACATGCCCTTGCACGACCGTGACTTTATGGCTTATGAATCTTTTGCTGCACTTTTGCTTGTTCTGCCTCGTCCGTGAACAATCGCCGGACTGCATACCCTTTTGATTTGTTAGGTTTGGTTATGTCGCCACCACCTTCGTGATTTGGTTGATTGTGTACAGGTTGATTTCACTCAATGAAACAAGACTTGACTCCGCGCGTTCTGGATCTGACTTTTTTGGTACTGGAACCCAGCGAAGGATGCAAGGTTGGACGACATACGCAAGGTCTTGAACTTGAAGGAAGCAGATGTGTGCACACTGTTCATTATCGTCTCGATCGCGGCGTGTAAGACATGGCCAGGGTCGAGGGTAGGTGGGGGTGCACATGACCGTGCGGGGCAGCCTGTACGCGCTCACGTGCTGGCTGCCCATCCACGGCGCGAGGCGGCTGGCGGTGACGACCGTGACACCGCGGCGGACATGTTGGACGACATACTTGAACATGTCCGCCGCGGTCCAAATCGGGCACGCAGTATATCATAGCGTAGTCCCGCCGTCTTGTTCTCCATCGTTTATCTCAAGTCTCATCGTCGACGGTCACACCACCAGCAACATGTCTACTATACCCAACCCCACCACTCAACCCCATGCATTAGCTGAGCGCAGCAAACACCGGCACGTCAAGCTCAAGCCTCCCAACGGCACCCGCATGTCCGTCGCGGCGCAGCGGGTGGCCCGACGCCTCGCCAAGCGGACGTCCGCCTCAAAGGCTCAGCAACACGCGTACATCTGCGCTGATCAGGGTGTCACTGACAGTCAGCGGACCAAGGGTCGCCCGCCAAATCCACACGTCATTCGCCGGATTCGCCTGGGCGAGCTCTCCCAGGTCGAGCAGCCAACGCCCTACATCTCCATTCCTTTCAAGAGGAAGAGACTACCCGGCGTCGTCATTTTATTTGACGAGGAATACGACGACGAAGGAGGGCGTCAGCCGACTTTCAAGCGGCGCATGGTCATTGAACGCGTCCGACAGCCCCGGGTCAGAGCCTATCCAGACTGGCTCGACAGAGGACAAGTCGACAAAGTAGGCGTGTCAGTTCCAGCCCTATGCAATGTGCTGAATACGATTCTCGGCATCTGATCCGTGACAGCATCCGACACCTGCCTTGACCGAGCAAGCGATTCCCTCCATCCCTGGCAAAAGGAAGAGAAAGTCCGAGACACTCGAGATCTCTGACGGAGGGCTCGAAGACAAGGAGGAACGTCGACCCAAACGCAAGCGGTGCATCGTCAAGAAGCGCAGCCTGCTTCCTGGCCTCAAAGTCTTTCCGGACTGTGTTGCTGTAGTTAAGATCAAGGTGAGGCAACCACGTCTGACATCGCAACCTTGCGTTGAATTCTCTACTTGTATCATAGTCACAGGAGGCTGCTTTGACTACCGCCAGTGCTTCGTTGGACATCGCCAATGCCTCCTCGGATACCGCATGCTCTTCGTCGGATAATGCCAACGTCTCGTCGGATACTGCTAGCGACACTGGAAGCGTTACTGTCATTGGAGACGAGGTATTACGTCAACTTACTCATTCAACATCATGCTCATTCTGTGCTATAGAATGCCGAGCCGACGAAGAAGCAAGAGGTAAGTTGGTCTTTGCATATATCGTTGTCTGCTTATGACAAATCTCAGGAACTGCTCATGAACGAAGACATTCTCACAGCATCGGCACAAGATATTCTCATCGGCTCAGTGATCGAGAAGCTCGAAGCCCTTTCCCTGGCCGATGACGATGAAGTCATCGTCGCCCTAGGCCAGCTTCTATGCACAGTCGGGTTCAAGGAAACGGATATGGACGACACGGACGCATTTGTGCACGGTCCCGGGGACCACCGCGACGACTACCTTCCGGTTCATCGCGCTGTCCTCAGGACGTCGTACGTCATCAAGGTCCAGTTCCAACTGGCTAAGAACGTTTCGTTGAATCTCTCCGGTCCACGCAGGTCTCGCGTTGATATGGCTCCAAAGGCCGAACCAGCCCAGCTTACTGTCAATGCCGGCATCGAACCACCGTCAAGGATAGCGCATGGCCTTCTGACGCATGATGAGATGACTGTAGATGGACCTCCGGAGATTGAAGAGCACGAAATGGCGGAGAATGAAGATGGCGAGCCTATTCCTGCGATCGTGCCTGCTGCTGCCCCCCAAGCAGTAACATCGCCACCTCCGCCGTACCGAGCACCCTCCAGCCCCATCATCCACTTCTCTCCGACTCCTCTTCCAGCCATGCCTGCCCTCGTGTCGTTGCCCCCACCTCCATACAGTACTCCTCCATCAGTCATCGACCATCCTCTCTTCAAGCCTCCATCCCTTCTCTTCGCGGCACAGCTGGCGGCGCAGCCTTCGTTCCCGGCTATGCATGGAATTCCGTTCTTGTCTCTTCTGCGGTCCCAAGCGGCCCGGCAAGCACGGAACCCATCTGCACCTGCGCCTCAGTCCCGTCCGGAAATGCCAGCATTGCCATCGTCGTCTTCCGCTGGGCCGCCTTCTTTGACACCAGCCGTTGAGCCTCCTCCCGCTCCAAACTCAGCGTCTTCGTCAACGGCAAACGATGAGGACCGCTGGGAGGAGCTCTTTGGCGCCGATGAAGAAGAGAAGGCCACGACGACTGCCGAGGGAGCATGGGAGGCTGCGTTTGGACTGGATCCCGAATGCTGATAGCCCTGCCTAGTCCTCCTTACTCAATATACCCCTGCTCGATATGCCCTTGCCTGATATACCCCTGCTTAATATACCCTGCATTATATACCCCTGCTTGATATACCCTTGCTCGATATACCCCCCTTTACATCACACCCCATCTCCCTGCACGAACCCCAGACTCACATGCTGCAAGTCTCGCGTATGCTATCATCCATAGAAGAAAACCGACCAAACCCAGACAAAAATCCCAAAAAAACACAACATAAAGAAAACCCCACGAGACATCGCAGCACTCATCTCCCTGGACCGCCTCCGTGGTTCCCGACACCTGTTCCTCAGGCTGTCCGCGCGTCAGAGTATGCGCTGCTCGCTTCCTCTCGACGCCGAGGAACCACCACGACCGTCGATGCCGCCTCTGCACCATGACCGGCTCGTTCGCTTCCGGTCGCGTGCAACCGTACCGCGACAATGACGACATCTACCCAGGAGCACACTCTCGCCGAGCCCCAACAACATGGATGCGGCCGTGCATATGCATGGCTGCTCTGTTGTTGCCGCGCCTGGAGGATTTTTCTGACAGGTTAGCAGGTTATGGCCGGCGAACGGGCACGAATCCAACTCAAGGATCTTCGCCCTTCCTGGTAGGCTGCCCTTCATGGTGGACTATCGAAGCGCCCACGGGTGAACCTGGCTTCGTCGAAGCTGGGGCTACCTGTCATCCGACTGCGAGGCCTGTTCAGATGGCCTTGCACGTCGGTGGCGATGCGAGTCTGTGGGGACATATCGTTTCATTTAATCTATTCTCGAGAACGTATTGATTTCATATACTAGGAAGCGGCCTCTGAGTCGTAGGATTCAGACTGTGGCTCGCTCTGATCCTCTCGTCTACTAGTCTTATACACGGACCACAGTGCCTGATTTGTACTGGATCTCATCTTTTTAATCTTCACATCTATTTGTGTTTTCTCATAAGGATATAGACTGGATGATTTTGCCTCTAAACTTTGTCTTTGACGCAAAGATCAAGAGAGGTCGACCAGGCGGCTCAGAGCGAATTTGCTTCCGCGATACTCGTGCCCACGCAAGAAGGCGCCCACGGCTTCTCTGTGGCCACCACTTACGTTTGAGCTTGAGCTAAGACCAATTGAACCGCGCGACAAAGATCTGTATCTAGACCGCAACGCCCCTTTTGCTAACCTTTTCAGTACTAGTTGACTAACTTTTGCATCCGCGCTTCCGCATGCAAGTCGGTGGGTGACTTTGGGCGCGAGTTAGATGTCTGCAATCCAACTGATAGTCAGCTCTCTAAGATGGCCGCACCGTTCATGAACCCGGTAGCAACCTGGCAGGACCTCAGCATCCTGCTCTGTCCGTATTATCACCTGTGCTATTGCTTCTAGCAATCCGCATAACACACCCACACACCATGTCCTCCACATACCTCACTGTTCCTACTATCGGCGTCGAGATGCCCCTGTCTCCGCCTTGCAAGTCCGCTCGCCGCGCTCCCCAGCCCGTGCGCATGGTCCTCGAGTCCACTGCCAAGGTTGCCCCGAAGGCCCTGGGTCAGCGTCTCCGCGTCGGTCTCCTGAAGCAAAAAGCCAGTGCCGAGCCCGAGGGCCTCTCGGACTGCTACACTGTCAAGCCATTCGCTCCCGGACCGATCGACGTGGCGTACAGTAGCAGCGCTGGATGCCCGTTGATCCCGCTGGCCGTCGCCCAGCAGCGGTACGATATCTCTCATCGTGGCTTTGAACTGTCCAGTGAGATCCCCTGCGGCTCGTTCTCTATTGGGTGCGAGCTGCTTTCTCTGCATGTTGCCCAGGTTCGCCACGGTGTTCGGCCGAGTGCGTTCCTGTGAGTAAATGCTCTAATGATGGAAGGTGTGGGCGACCTGGGGATGGGTACTCGTGAGGTTTCTAGGCCCCCTGCGAGCGTCCTTGAGAATCCTTGGGGACGAACCTGCGCTCTCTTGGCCGTTGAACGTGGCCTTGTTGTCGCGCTCTTGCTTCTCTATTCCCTGTTCCCCGCTTCGGGGACCACGTCTCTCCCCTCTTGTAATTCTTGATTCCAGCTCCCAATGATCGTCACGTTATATGCTCTTTGACCATCCTTCCTCCCCGAGCATCAGGTTCCGACCACTGGATGTCCACGGTGCGCTGCGCAGCTGCAACTCGAAAGGACAACATCAGGACCGGAGACATATATAGGGATCACAGGTATGGCAGACGGCGCTGGGCGAAGCGTCAAAGGAAGGAGTCATGACCCTGATGACTGCGATGCTTCGACTTGTGCCTGATGCCTTTCCGTCTTCCGTTTGTCACCGCACACTGGCACACATTCAATGACCCCATTTTATTAGTCTGTTTCAGGTTATTGCGGCTATAGTAATACACAGACACCTGTCGCGAGCGCACGCAAGTCAACAGATATGGCATTGGGAGATGGACGGAGCCGGTGGCGAGACGAGTGAGGGCCTGATCACCCCGATGATCTTTGCTTCCCCGACAAGAGGTCAAGTGTGACGAGAACATTCTAGCTGCGATCGTGCAGCATGCTCCCTCATTAATCTTTCGATGAGACAGAACTCAGCTTCAAGTTTGGTCTCGGCTCCCTCGGGACTCCACGTTGTGCTTGTCCAGCGTATCTCCCTCCGGGTAGTGTCCGATCTGATGCTCTTTCTATCAAATCTAATGGATCTCTTTCCTTCTCCTTAGGTTTCGTTACGGTCTTAAAGACGTGGTTAATACATCCTAATATATATGCGAGCAAGTCCGCCGCCTACGTACGCTCCTTATATCTGTCACTCTCACCATCCAAGTGACGCCTCTCCCATAGGGCATGCGATTACATGCTTTGCTACGTCACTATACGAACCGAAGGTTGTCGCGAAAGGTGAGGTACCGATGGTGGGGAGGCGTGCGCAACGAGAGAACGGCCGCTCTCGCTGCGTACATCTTCTCACCTGAGGTGCCCGGCGGGGGAAGGTGGACGCAGTCTACATTCACGAAAAAAGATAAGCATATAATGGCTCTGTCTTCCTACTTCGGATTACTTATGCTATGCAATGTTAGCCCATTTCTCGTGGCGATGCGCGGGCTGCATTCACGAAAAAACATAAGTATACCGATGCCTATCACTGACACATGGCGATTTCCGCCTATCTCTTCAACGGAAATGTAAGCCGATAATGGCATGACACTCAGGATGCATAGTCTTGAATGATATAAGACGTGAAAAGCGATATGATGGCGAGGCTTTTATGTTCGCGCATTGAAGGAAGAATTGCTTGCTCCCGCTTCACAACGATTTGAGGTGATGCTGTCTGGATCCATCACTTGGGATGGCGTTACTCTCGTGTGGCTGTGACACGACCTAACCTGATGCCGTGGTTAGACGCGACGTGACTGAGTGACAGACGCGTGACGGTGGCTCGCGTGTTCGAAATTGAGGACGTCTCTCTCCTGCCACCACCAACCTGCATGCTCGCGACACCCTAGCCATGGAGAACCGTCTGCTCAGAGGTATGTTTCACTCACTCTCCTACCCGTCGCCGCTCAGCGTGGCTTATTTGCCAGTACGCGCCCTCTACACCATCAACGGCGCGCCCCAGTACATCCTCGCCCTCTCCCACAAGCCCGTCTCCGTCTCACTCATTCCCTCTCATCTCATTCCTGGCGCCACTGCGCGTTCTTCCCCTGCCTTCTCCTCCGACGCGCCCATATTCGGCAGAGCTCCCCTCGTACCATGCCTCCAGGCCATCTGCCACTCCAGGTAACCGCTTGTCCTCGTCGTCTCACCTACTCTCTTCACACTTCATTCAGCCCAGAGCTTGCACCCGGTTCCGGCCGTGACTATTCCGTTTATGCCCTTGATCCAATCGAGTCCCAGGCGTGAGTGTCTTTATCGCCGCCTCCATCCACCATTTTCACCATTCCTCCATAGCCGTGCTAATGGATCCGGACCAATCCCCGTTAATGTCGCTATCGGCCTTGGACTCATGTCATGGTCTCTCCAAGCTGCAAATAACGACATGACCGTCATCGGCACCTTCATCAGCAACGGCTACAGAGAGGACTCGCTCGAGGTCATTTTCTCCTTGAGAGAGGTACGCACGCGTTCCCTCTTTCTGTATTACACTGACCCCTCTTCAGGCGGCATATATGCCTCTACTTCCTCCTCCTCGACGAAACCCAACCGCTGATACTAACCTCAGGCCACTCATGACCATGAAGCCGCTACCCATCCGGCGTTCTCGTCAGTCAGACGTCCCTTCAAAGCGGAGTAGGAGCAAAAAGCCACTTGCAGAACCAGAATCTTCGTCTTTCGCCGATTCCTCCACCGGAAGCGCCTTCAAGGAAATTGGGTCGATGAGGGGGGAAGACGAGTCCAGTTCCTTGTCTGGATCATGCATAACTTTTCCTGCTGACGTCTTTGCCCCGATACCTTCCTCCTCATCGACTTCTACTACTGCAACTGATACACAAGGCATCTTGCAAACTCTCCTTCACGCGCTAGCGACGTCCCCAAGCAAGAACGCGCAACTCCTCTCGGCGCTCTCAACGATTGACTCTCAGGACGCGTCCCAACAGTCCAATGTCGCGCTCTTCGAAGCGCTGCAAAAGCTGCTCAGCAACGTATCTACGTCTACTAATACCACCGTCGCGCCATCTGATTTGACGAATTCCTCGAGCCCATATCATGCTTCAAGTATCACAGGTCTTCCTCAAGCGCCTTTTTCTTTGCCGCCGACTCTCCCTGCTAGTCCTGACCTACCGACGCAAACGCTCCCCAACCTCTCCTCCGGCGGCACGTTCCCCCGGCTGGTTCCAACATTGACTGCGCCAAGCTCGAGCAAAGCACACCCACAGGACGACGATGATGACATCGTGATCCTTGACAAGGAGAATGTGAACCCCAGCGCCTTCCGCCGGCGAAACACCTTCTCAGGCAAGGGCAAGGACAGGGCGATGCCTGCCGCCGTCACTGCAACAGCTGCAGGCCCACTCAACAAGTCGCTCACTGCACCGCACAGGCTGATCTCCAATTCCGCCCATACTGACGCGGGCGCAAGCAGTTCGCGCAACGAGATCCCCGCCCAACACTGCCTTGAGCACACCGTGCACCCGCCCAGAGTGTCTACGCTTGACTTTCGGCGTGGAACGCACGCATTCGACACCGCGTCAGAGCCGGCGAGGCGGCCATTGCGCAAGCGCACGCTGAGTGAGTTCATGGAGGAGCGCGATCGGGAACGCGAGGCAAGGGCGAGGCGCCGGAGGGGGCTCTCCACTGCTGGCGGGAATGCGAATACAGATGTACACGCGCAGAGCGAACCGGCGGTGCCAGTGGCAGTCTCGGTGAGCTCGCCGGCAAAGGGAAAGGCGGTTGATCGCGGCGAGCGCTTGAAGCGCAAGCGGTATATCGTACCGGAGTGGGCAAGGACCACGACGGCAACGCAGCCACGGCTCGCGGGGCGGCCCGCAGGTAGGAGGGACAGGGAGGAGAGCCCGAGCAAGAGAGCGAAGGATACGAAGACTAAGCAGAAGACGAGGAAGGAGTTCGAGAATGCTAAGGCACAAGAGCGGGCGCGCGGTCGGGAGCGGACGAGGACGGTCTTGTCTTCATCTGATGCCCTCACCAGCTCGGCGTCGTCAATACCGGCTTGCGCGTCTTCTATTACATCCAGCACTGCAGGGTCTGCACCAGCATCGGCGGTGTTTCGAGGGGAGATTAAGACGCTTCCACGGCCCATCGTAGCAGACAGCTCTGACGTCCCAGTCTTTTCGTCACCACCAGCCACACGTCCGCTTGCGACCTCATCAAGTGCCGTTCCCGAACCGCCGTCAACACCAGTGCGGTCCCGGAACCGGTTAGCAGAGCCCTCCTCGAACAACACGGATCTTTTCGGCTCGCCGCTGTTCACGCCGCGCAGGGCCCAGTCGTCCCCACGCACGCCAAGGTTGCCCGGTATTTACGCCGGGCGCAATTTGCGCTTCTCACCTAGCCGGCACTCGCGCGAATCGACGCGCTCTGTGCGGTCGAGGAGGTTGCGCTCCCTATCACCAGGCATAAGACATGAGGAGCTTGAGAACGTTGAGTCGCCGTCGAGTTCGCTGCCCGTGGCGAGCAGTGACGTGGAGGATAGCGGTGAGTCGGAATGGTATGCGGGTGAGCAGGGCTGGTCTAGGACGTTGGCACTGTCGTCGCCGTTGCCGCCGTCGAGCCCGATACTGTCGCCGGAGGACGACTGGGTAGCGGAGCACGAAGAGATCGATGCTGATCCTGAGGCGCCGACGGATGCAGACGCTGATGTGTTGGTTAACACCGTGGTGGGGGATATGTCGGAGGAAAACAAGGTTGACGAAGAAGGCTCTGCGTTGCCTTCCACCGTCCCATCCGTGCCCCAGAGCCCATCTACGTCAGTTCCACAGAGCTTCGACTCTACGCCAGACCCGAATCAAGACGCCATCCCGCCGGACTTTGCTCTAGGCGTGTCGAATGCGCTCTTCCCAACAGCCGACAACGGAGACAACGGCGATTTCGACTTCAACGCGATGTTCGCAGACATGTCCGGCCTGGATCCTGCGATAGCGGCGACGTCCGATTTCTCGGTGACCTCGATGCCTGAGTTCGACTTTTCGACGTTCACATCTTCGACCGACTTTGACCGTCTATACATGCCCGACTCCGATGCCTTCCTTGACCAGTCCGCGCCGTTCGTCGCAACCACAAATGCAGACGCGATGGCAGACGAAGTGGACGCGGTGTTCGGCGACCTTGCGGCGCACGACGGCCTGGACTTTACGCAGTTCTGGGAGTCGATGAAGCCCCTCGTTGGCGAGAGTATGGGTGTGGCGGAAGCAGGGGAAGAGGAAGAGAAGGATGCTACGAACGCGGGAGATGCGTCTGCGGCTGCGGTGACGGTTGACTCGGCGAAGCTTGCGGACAGTATGCAGTCTCTATTGAGCGGGTGCGTCATGTAGATAGTGGGATGTACCGATTGGGACGATTGTCAGTGTCATCTCAAAGCGAATATAATTAATCCAGTGCTCTTCCGTGCATGCAATGCGTTGTGACTGCGTAATTTAACAACGCTGGCGCTGAGCAGGGATTTCTGGCGACTCCTATGATGTCAATTACTTTCGCATCGGCGCTATTGGAGTCTTCGAGAAGGAGTATAGGCTGGCAAACGAGATGCAATATGGGTGCGAATATCATTCGCATCGTAGCATGTAGAGCGGTAACAATCCCCGGCGGGAGAGGGTACATTCAATGAACTATGACAAACGCGACATGGAGTCGTCCGTTGTCGAAGTACGAGTCAAGGACGCAGTATGAAGAGCAGTACAGCTGCACGGCTATTTGACATTCAGCGAGGCTCTTGAGCTTTGTGTATCATGACATGGATCAAAGCTGGACCTGTGGTGCGTGCGGATGGAAATCGCGATCTGGGATGAAGGGCAAGGTCAGTCGAAGTACGCGAAGCAAAAAGGGGCCGATCTCACCGTCGTCGCCGCTATAAAGGGTCATATCGGATGGAGAAAGTATGGCTCCACTGCATCGATAGCACTAGCGTGCGATCGCTTTGACTATCATCTTGAGTAATTACGCTGCAGCGATAGCATGATCAGCAAGTCGGACTATCATCATTCTGCGGCGAGTCACACGCACCTGGCTTGTGAGGTCCAGCGATGGCTTACGAGTCGGTTCTTCCACGCGTACGGCCATGTCCATGCGGACATGTCGCTGAGACGATATAGATAATAAGTATCCAGCGTGGACGCATGGCGAATAAGGGGCCACATACCCTTCTTGTGAGTGTCACCTTCATCTCCCTTCCCAGCCGGGCACCTCAAGTGAGGAGATGTGCGCAGCGAAAGCGGCCGTTCTATCGCTGCGCACGCCGCCTCATTGTCGGCACCCTCCCTCCTCACGACTTCTCCTCGGTATGCTAGTGCCATGTAACAAAGGATTGTGTATCTGTTAAGTATAAAGCGGTCCGGAAATACGACATGCGAGCATTCGGTAGAAAGGGACATTACAATATGAAGCATCCTGGATAGATGCTTCAAGCAGCGTGTTTTCTTTGTGATCCATCAGAAGTATTGCAGAGAGCGGATGCTAGAGAAGCATAGATAGGTCAGCTCTGAGAAGAAAGCAAAGAGCAACAGTACCATACCTGGAAATATGAGGTGCGAAGCACAAGACAGATACATCATGAAGAAGGTGCCCAAGTAATGGGCAGGTCCTGTCTCAAGGGGAGTCGATGAGTGAATATGCTACAGGATAGCAGCTAGAAGGTTCTCATTGCACAGTGCACTTGACCTCTCGTCGGGGAAGCAAAGGTCATCGGGATGATCAGGCCCTCACTCGCCTCGCCGCCGGCTCCTTCCATCTTCCAATGGCATATCTGGCGACTCGCGTGCGCTCGCGATAGGTTCTTGTGTCCTGAAACAGACTAAGAAAACGGGGTCACTGAATGCATGTGCGGTGACAAACGGAGGACGGAAAAGGCATCAAGCACAAGTCGAAGCGTCGCAGTCATCAGGGTCATGACTCCTTCCTTTGACGTTTCGCTTAGCACCACCTGCCATACCTGCGATCCCACATATGTTTTTCGGTCTTGATGTTGTTCTTTCGAGTTACAGCTGCGCAGCGCACCGTGAATATCCAGTGGTCGCTAACCTAATGCTCGGGGAAGAAGGATGGTCAAAGGGAATATAAGGTGACGATAAGGGGAAGCGGTAATCAAAAATCTCAAGAGGGTAGAGATGTAGTCCCATAGGCGGGGAACTGGAAACAGAGAAGTAAGAACGCGACAACAAGGCCACATTCATTGGCCAAGAGAGCGCAGGTTCATCCCCAAGGATATGCAGGAGCACTCGAACGGGCCTAGGAACCCCATGAGCACCCCATCCCCAGGTCGCCCACACGTCCCAGCATTTGAGCATTCACTCACAGGAACGCACTCGACCGAGCACCGTGGCGAATCTGGGCAACATGCAGAGAAAGCAGCTCGCACCCAATAGAGAACGAGCCGCAGGGGATCTCACGGGACAGTTCAAATCCACGATGAGAGATGTCATACCGCTTCTGGGCGACGGCTAGCGGGATCAACGGGCATCCCGCGCTGGCACCGTACGCAACCTCGATCGGTCCGGGAGCGAATGGCTTAACAGTGTAGCAGTCCGAGAGGCCCTCGGACTCGTCATTAGCCTTTTGCTTCAGCAGACCGACGCGGAGACGCTGGACCAGGGTCTTCGGAGCAACCTTGGCAGTGGACTCGAAGACCTTGCGCGCGGGCTGGGGAGCGCGGCGAGCGGACTTGTAAGGCGGAGACAGGGGCATCTCGACGCCGGTAGGAGGAACAGTGAGGTACGCGGAAGACATGGTGTGTTATGCGGATTGCTAGAAGCAAGTGCACAGGTGATGGTACGGACAGAGCAGGATGCTGAGGCCCCGCCATACGCGACCGGGTTTATAAGTAGGGCGGGTGTTGTGAAAGTAACCATCGGTCTCGACTCAAAAACTCGCGCCGGGATTAGCACGTCGAAGGGCAGATGCAAATGACTAACGAAATGGATTGAGGCTATCAAATGAGTATAAAGTGCAGTCCAAGCTCGTCAATGGCGGCCACCGCGAAAGGTGACAACGCGGCGTGACGTTTATGCATGATCGTGTGAACTTCAGTATCACAACTAATTGTAGTCACACACCTGCACTGCGCGCGTTCTAAAGGACATGCGCAGCCAAAATGAACTGAATACATTGCAACGCAGATATTGGAAAGTTGACTTTTCTCTGGCCGTCGAATTCACTGATCCCCGCGATGAGCATGTCCATCTACCTGTGTCTGTACATGCAGCTTGCCAAAGTCCCAGACAAACTATTGAGTAGGACGTCTCTATCTATCAAAGATACAACCCATGTCAACCAGGTACTGTCAGATACAAGCATTCGTAATCGATACATTGTGGACCGTAAGCATATCAGTATGCTGCCGCGCATGGGCGCAGCAGGTCGCGTGAATATCTCACTCGGAGATGCCATTCTGTCCTGCAGAACCTCATAAGGGACATCTGGAAATCATCAACCCTAATCCCAACCAACGAATATCCGACGGCGAGCCCCGTCGCGCACAACTATCACCAACCAAACGTTCTAACATACCCTCATTAGCCGATCAAACAAGATCGCACAAGTTCACTCACTCTTCATGTAGCTCAATCCCACCAACCGATTTCCTCCTCTCCGTACTCACACCAGCCACACATCTCCCCACCTCCTCTCCCAGTCCGGCTGGCCCGCACACGCCAACGACTACGCCTGCCGGGAGCGTCGGCGACGCCTTCCATAGCTCGCACGTGCGGTCAACCACGCGATCGAGGATCTTCGCGATGCGGGGGCGGCCCGCGGTGAGTGTCATGCCCATTGGAAGGGGCAGAAGACGGTCGAGGACGGTATTGTCTGGAGAAATAGCACGTGTGTACGAGACGGAGATGCGCAGCTGAGCATCTGACCGCTCGGCGCGCGCAAGGAGGGTGGTGAACAAGGGCATGAGCGGCATGAGCGCCGCTGGAATAAGATGATCAGTCAATCGACTGAAATTGACAGAATGAGAGATTCGAAACTAACAAGGATCCTGCACACTCCATACGAGCTCGATGACCCTCACACGGCTGCTCCCTGCAATCGACTTGTGCACCAAGTCTTGTACGACAGACAGCGGATATGTGATCCCACTGCCGCCGCCGACGAACACCGCGCCCGAGAAGCTCGCAAAGACAGCGTGTCCCGAACCGCCTACAATAACTGAGTGGACATAGATGGTGAGAGCAAAAGGTTGACCTACCGTACGGGCCGTCAATGAGCACCCTAACCTGCCTATCTGCGCCTCCCGCCTCGCTGTACTCCACGCGCTGCGCGAGACTGTACAGTTTATTTGACCAATCGCCTACCTTCCTGATGAGCAGCACGATGCCCTTCCCACTTGAACACTACACACAAAGGGTTCAACATATCGCCCAGATCGGATTTGTATGCTCACCTTGCTTACGCTCGCGATAGTGAACGGATGGCTTTCCACCCACCCCGTCAGGCCCATACTGGTGCTAAGGACCTTGATCCGCAGATGCTGCCCCGCGCGCCAGCCAGCATTCACGCTCGGAATGGTCACGCGCACCATGCCGAGCTCAGGCATCGTGTGCAGGCGCGCGATGGCAAGCCGTGCCTGGAACAGACGCAGGAGACGATCAAAGCCGTAAAACCCGACGGCGATGAAGATGTACGCATTGGTGGCGGATTCGTGAAGGCAGATCTGTGGGGCGATATAGTGACAATAAGATGCATTCGAGCGTGAGATCAATGCGAGTGTGACGCGAAGGTAGCGGAGAAAGGGACGCACCGCGGGCAGGACGATGATAGCTGCCAAGGCGTGCGATGTGAAGAAAAATTGATAGAACATCTCGCGGACGGCTCTCAGGGAGAAGAAGAACAAAACATCCATGCACGCGAGCGCAACGAGACCCCAGATGATGTCAGGCGTCAAGTTCTGGCGGACAGTTCCGTTTATGAACCACTCATGGACTAAAACGAAGTTCAATAAGCACACAAGGCAGATGTGGTCAAGGAAACGTACTGTATCCTAACGAGTGGATGTTGACGGCGAGTACGACCGCTCTTCCCGCCCAGCGATGCAGATAGTTCAACTGCAGAGAGGTCAATGTCCAGAATGAACAAGTATTGGGATAATTATGCGTACCTTCTCATATCCATGGCCGATAAGCCAAGTGATGACATTGTTCTTCACCGCGAGCACAACCACCACCGGAATCTGCGCACATGCCAGCTCTCCGCTGTGGTTATAATCCGTGAACGGGTTGCTCTGCACCAACCCGACCGCCAGCATCAACCCCGTGTACGCGAGCAGCATTAGCACCTTGCCTATCGAATAGCCCTGACGAACGGTCCTCGCGAGAAAGCTACTCGTACCCGGAAACAATGTCGACAATGCCGGCATGTGGACGGGATACTGATAACGGCGATCTACACGCGCGATATCGTGGGCCTTTGAGATGTCGTACATGGAGATGCGCTTAGTCTCGAGGGCATAGTCGTCCTCGATGTCTGATGCATCCTCTGGTGGAGAGAGGGTCTTTTCGTCATCAGCGCGCTTTGAGCGGATAAAGACATGTGCAGGTGGATACACGGGCGAGAGCGGGTACGCATCGTGGGCCGATTTCTTCGTAGTTGTAGAATACAAGAATAGGCCCTCCGTCAACTCGGACCAGCGAGTGAACCTGACTGCTACTCTAGGGAGCGCAAGCAGAAAGAAAACCCCGACGATGCCCAGCAAGAGAAGGCCAGAGTAGTAGATAAGGTTGGTGGCAAGCTCAGCTCGCTGGGCGGAAGAATCCGCGCTAGCAAAAGCGGAAGTACCGATGGACGCAGAGCCAGCTGCAGTAGAATAGTCTGCGGTAGACATCGTGGAGGAGCTGAGGGGAATACTAGGATGAAAGAGCGTCAAGGGTCATGAGAAGCGAGCGGAGAGGTGGAGGCGGGAGGAAGCCTTTGTGGCCGATGGGAGCAACGAGAATTTTACGAGCTGGGCACAGGCACGGGCAACGAGGCATACACGCGGGAATCATAAACTTGGTAGGAATTCCCGCTTTGTTCATAGGTGCACAGCTAACCATTCAAAATTCCGACGCCAGTCGTAGATCTCTTGGCATCTTGCATTCGAACTATCTTCACTGCGGCGATGAATCCAGCAGATAGCGCACTTAAGACTGCCCTCCGACAAGGCAAAATACGAGGAGTGCACTAGTGAATATCTGGGTTAGCAGCTGCAGCAAGCGGCCTGGACAAACACGTTGGGTTCAACACACAGCCACTCGATAGAATCTCTATCGAGATCTCACGTAGTACAACGACTACCATTTTGAGCAATAATGGACCTGATTAGTCGAATAATTCTTCTCGAATGGAGGTCCCCCAGTTACTTGTAACATACACTACATTGCTGAGTGCTGACCGGTGACCGAGCGCTTGAGCGTCCTGGTCAGCGGCCATCGCGTCTTTCGCCGATCACCGTCAATATTGCTGCGCACAACATTCGATCCCAACTGGACCCGGCCATGTATACTGTGGCCGAAAGTTCCAGCTGTCTTTTGAAGAGCGTGTACAATTCTGCTCTTTTATCCGAGAGCCACCTTGCGTCATCTGGCAGCGGCGATCACACGTTCAAAGTCGCGGGAGTATCACTGTGCCATTGTCCTGGACATCTCTTGACGTCGGTACCTATGCTAGCTGCACCTTTCATGCTACTGTCAATATTGTTGACGCACCGCGCTAGACTTACAACTGTTTTTCAAAACATCCGATTTTCCCGCAGAGATGACTCACCACATTATCGCACACTTGTCGAACGATCAAAGCACGCTAGGAACGGTTTGTTGTCGCGCTAGCACTGTCCAGGCATAGACACATTCTCCGGTCCGTGAAGCTGGCCAGGAGTCACGTACGGACGGCGCACGATCTTCATGGCCGGCCATGGCTGACCTATGCGCTTGCTCGCCATCAACTTCGACTCTCCAAAAAATTACCGGCTGGCACACAGTATACTCACCTTGACATACCATAGAAAGTCTATGCTCTTCAAATCGAAGGGGGAATTTACGTCTGTGATACTCGACTCCTCCGACATGTACCATACCCTCTGCCTCAGCTCGGCCAAGCTCTGCAGCATTAGCGGCATGGACCTACTATTTACTTGGAATGACTGCGCGACGCATCAAAAGAACTCGAACCTAACACTCATCAGCGGATATCTTTACCCCATCAACGGAGAACGTCGGTTTAGCCCTGGAGGGTATCCATTCAAGCTTTCAGCAGGTCGCTGGTGAACCTCGCCGTCGAACTACCGTCCGAAGTAGAGGATGTTACAGGTCAGTGTTCGCAACTGTCTGTCGACATCACTCAGGTTCAGGACTGATGATCATACCTTACAGAGCCTCCGCCCAACTCGCAGGACTGATGCCTCTCTGATGTATCTCTACGCCTCGAGGCGGAACCTTGCTTGGCGGCTTCTCAAGCATGCTCTCCCAGCTCGCGTGCCTCGCCCTCAAACACATCGGGCTCGACTTCCATGTAAATCTGAATGGATCGGTGGAGGTCTGAATGGAGCGGCGCAATGGCTGGGAGGCGCTGCAGTACCTGCTGATCGTTATAGGCACGGAAGACGATAATTCCCAGCATGAACCAGCTGACCACCCGCCCAGATCCCTGCTCCGGCAACTCCTTCCAGGACTCGGCGCCCGGTATGTATTGCGGACGGTAGTGTACGCATCATGCCCTGCGTTCGATCACCGGCAATGAATTCGCCTCGCCGACGCAAGACGTACGTTCTCCATTGCAACCGACTAGCACTGCAGGATGTTCCACGAAGAGATGCTAAAGCACGTGCTGTTACATCGCCCGAGACAGTCAATGTCGCTACGTGCTCCTAGGAGACGAATCACGCGCTGTTACGACGACGGACAGCGCCTCCGGGTTTACTGGTAGCTCCGTCGTGTTCATAAATGCACAACAGAGCAGATGACAATATCGCGATTGCATGACGTTTACATATATCCATATAGCGCTTGTACGTCAGCGGCATACGTGAGGGAGTCTCATGACCGCGCCACTCCTCGGAATTCGTTGGCGGAATATGCTCTCAAGGGACATATTAATGCCTCTTTGGCTCGGTCAACTGTCGCATGTATTTTGACAGTCGTCTGAAGCGATGACAGGTGTTCAAGGAAGGCATGTTCCGGATGATCGACGTTGCAGCGAACACGTCCACGGACAGGCGGGTCAACCTCGTGCCACCCGCCCGTTCATACTAATAACACCGGACCAGGCACTCGTCGGAGTTATTCACCAAGCTCGCTTTGATATATTCACCAGTCTACGTATACAAGTTCCTTCGCTTCCGTCATTCTCGCGCTTACAAACGGTCTTGAAAACAACGACCAGTATCAGCACAGCGAAGATGGCAACAGCGGGAACCCGAATGGGCGTTCCGTGGTTGCAGAATGCGAAATGGCTACTCACTGACGTTACCCAGGTCCGTACATGCCTCCTTGACGCGCTCGGCCAGCGTCTTCTCGCCCTCGCGCACCCAGACACGCGGGTCGTAATACTGCACACAAACATATCAGAAAAGAGCAGATCAGCTGAATCAGTGCACGCACCTTCTTGTTCGGCTTGTCCGCGCCCTCGGGATTGCCCACCTGGCTCTGGAGGTATCCCGACTTTTTCTGAACGAAATCCTAGTGCACCAAATAGTATCAGCAGCTGGCGGACATCGGATAAGGGACCGCCACACACCCTGATACCAGTGAGGTACGCATACTGCGTATCCGTGTCGACGTTCATCTTCACAACGCCGTTCTGCACTGCTGTCTTGATCTCCTCCTTCGTCGATCCGGAGCCACCATGGAATACCAGGAACCTATCATCATCGCAGTCGGTGCCCAACGTAAACTTAAAACGAAAGATATGCCCTCACAGTGGCTTCTTCTTCCCACCGAGCTTTGCCTCCGCATATGCCTGATGCTTCCCAAGGAGCTCTGGGTGCAGGCGAACGTTACCGGGCTTGTACACTCCATGGACGTTCCCGAACGCCGCCGCGATGCTAAAGTTCGGGCCAACCTTGCTCAGCGCGGTGTACACGTCCCAGATATCCGGGGGCTGCGTGTACAGCTTGCTGTTATCCACGCCCGTGTTGTCCACGCCGTCCTCCTCACCGCCGGTGATGCCGATCTCCATCTCGAGCCAGAGACCGAGCGGCGCCATGCGCTTGAAGTACTGCACACAGAGCGCGATGTTCTCCTCCTTTGGCTCCTCGGAGAGATCGAGCATGTGGGACGAGAAGAGCGGCTCCTGGTGCTGCGCAAAGTATTCCTCGTCTGCCTTGAGCATGCCGTCGAACCACGGGAGCAGCTTCTTCGCGCAATGGTCCGAGTGCATCACGACGGGGCTAAGAAGGTAAGTCAGCGAGAAAGCACCTGAAATGAACTTGGGCGTACATACACGCCGTACGCCTTGGCGACGAGGCGGACATGCTGTGCCGCGGCGATGGCACCAGTTATGGATGCCTGCTGCTTGTCGTTCGCGAGGCCCTTGCCCGCAAAGTATGCCGCGCCGCCCTGGGAGACCTGGATGATAATTGGGCTCTTGATGTCACTGATAGACGTGCAGACAGAAGGTTTAGACAGGCGCACAGCGCGGGGTGGAGATAGGAGCGCACCGGGCGGCCTCGAGCACGGCATTCGCCGTGGAAGAGGAGGTGACGTTCTGCGGACATAAGGGTGTGGAGATTAGCGGGGGCCTGCCTGGGTGAGAGGAGACTTACGATGGCCTGCGGTAGAGAGGTACAAGGGCGGTAGTGCGATTAGCGGCGCGCCGGGACGCATGCGCAGACAGAACTTACAGGGATGGCAAACTACATACAGATGTCGCTCGCTAAGTGGCTATATGCGTGCATCTTGTGACAGACGTACCTGGTGCTCCTTTGCGTACTCGAAGAGCTTGTGGACATTGTGGCCGGTGAGGACACCGGGCTGCGTGTCGCGAGCGGTCAACATCGTGCGCCTCACTTAGCGCATATCGCACGTACGGGGACGATATCGAGGACACCCATTGTGAAAGCGAGAATAAGTCGGGTAGAGAACGGGGACGACGATGTGGAAGGGAAAGAGGATAAGCTGGAGATGAGGATGATATACGCGCTCCAGGATCGATCGACATCACGTGTCCGGATAGTATTTGACCGAGTGCGGGCAAGCCATCGCCGTCCGCTCATCTCTGGCGAGCGCGGGGTGGGTATCTATAGTTGTGGCCCTGGCCAGTGAGTCGAGTTCACAAAGAGTGGCTGAATTAGTGTGAGGAGTACTAGTGACATCGCTTAATGCAGCACGCCCAACTTACCCGCGGGGGCCGCGCAACGTTCGCGAAATGACGTAGAATCTATGCATGCTCCGATGAGACGCGCTGCGAGTATATTCGCTCGGCAAGCGCATAGCTTGCGGACGTTGTCCCCAGAGAATTCTGTTGAGCGCGTTTCATGGCCTTTTCTTTATAGGGGACATGATATGTGACGCCGCCGATTGGCTCGGTTAGCATACAAGCAACTGACGTCGGCAAACAGCCACCAGTGGGGCGGCTGGGTGTAAAAGGGTTAAGACTACGCGAGATGTGCGGCGGCGGAGGAGGATCAGGATCGGACGAGAGGCATTATGCGTTTCCCCTCACGCTCATGCTCGCGGGCATAGTTGCAATGAGTGCAGCTCGAGGATCGTCGTGACGGTCGGGCGATGGGATTGCTGTCGCCTCCAACCCGGGGCAGACAGTGACACTTGGTGCCTCGGGCGGGTTCATACCGTGCAGGTGCAGCCCGAAATGCGCGGACGCCATCCAGCAATGCGGACCCCGTCCCCTCCCCCCCCTCTCCTCCTCGTGCGCGAAAATCGTTTGCCCACGCTATGCCGCCCATCATGGAACGCGCATAATCAGCGAGAGGGCATCGGTGCCTTGGCGGTGCAGTGGGCCGGATGTTGCCGCCGCGGGTCTTGACAGCTCCCATAAGGGCCCACAAGCCAGCTCCATATTGGGTCCCCCTCTCCTCCTCACTCCTCTCCGCCATGCCCTTCTCGCGCTATCTCGACCAGTCGCCCAGTGACTCGCCCACGTACGCCCACCCCTCCGCCTCCCACTCCGACGCCGCCCTCGGCCTCGACCCCTCCACCTTCTCCTCCAACGTCCAGTTCCAGGTCCCCAACCTCATCTTCGGCGCCCCCACCATCGCACCCGGCGGCGGTGCAGAAGTCCTCCCACCCGGCTTCATCTCCACTCATGGCCCCCTTACCGCCTCCTGGTTCCTCAACACCGCTCCAGGAAAATACTTTGATGATTCGTCAGTTTCCACCTTTACCTGCGCTGTAGCTTCTGACCCCCATTGCAGCCCCTCTACCTCCTCTGCTCCACCAAAGTACCACCTGCCCTGTCCCGACAATCCGTATCCAACCTATCCTTCTCCACAACTGCCTGTTCCACCAGGCTATCGTCATCCGTACGGCACACCCACTCCTTCGCCTCCCACCTCCCTCTCCTTGCCCACAGCCCTTGGCCTTCCCGTCTATTCGACCTCTGGCTTCGACCTCCTCTCTATCCTTGCTCGTGTAGCGAACCGACCACATCCAAAGATCGTTCTGGGGCCAGTAGACCTCACTTGCTCCTTCGTCGTCTCCGACGTCCGCCGTTATGACTCGCCCATAGGTATCGTCTCTTTTCTCCTTCATGCTGCATACATCCGCTCATCCTCGCCCAGTATACGCTTCACCGACATTCTGCAGGCTCACTGGCTATGACGAGCACGAAATCCTCGGCCGCAACTGTCGATTCCTCCAGAGTCCCGACGGCCGCGTCCAGCGCGGCGAGCAGCGCCGCCATACCGCCCCCGAAGCCGTCCTCCATCTCAAGCGCTGCACCTCCCAGGACAAGGAGTGCCAGACCAGCATGATCAACTACCGCAAGGGCGGCGCCGCTTTTATCAACCTCGTCACCGTCATCCCCATCCTTGGCGGCGTCAACGGAGCGCTTGATGAGGCCGATGAGGTCGTCTACCACGTCGGCTTCCAGGTCGACCTCACCGAGCAGCCAAGCGCCATCCTTCAGAAGCTCCGCGACGGCTCCTATCTCGTCGACTACTCTCGCAAGCTCAACCTCCCCACGCTCAGCGGCCACTCCACATCCACCCGCGACTGGCGCGCCGCGTCCTCCGGAGGCGCCGGTGTCTCGCCCGAACTGCACGCACTGCTCGAGAATCCCGCTTTGGTTGACTCGCTTCCGATCTCGACGGGCACGATGGGCTCCGCGACGCCCGCGGTGGGCGAGAAGCCCGATCCGCTCGACGGGAACCGCCTCTTGAGCCTCGTGCTGCTCGAGCACGCGCCCGACTTTGTCCACGTCGTCTCGCTCAAAGGCGCTTTCCTGTACGTTGCGCCGAGTGTGCGCCGAGTGCTCGGCTATGAGCCCGAGGAGCTCGTCGGACGGAGTATCGCCGAATTCTGCCATCCCGCGGACGTCGTCCCGCTCATGCGCGAGCTTAAGGAGTCCAGCGGGCCCATCACAAGCGGGCACGCGCTCTCCATCGGGGCATCATCCACAACGCCAACAGGAGGAACGGAAAACATCCCGCGCAAAGTTGACCTGCTGTTTAGAATGCCGACCAAGGCAGGCACGTTCGTGTGGGTCGAGTGTCGTGGCCGCCTGCACGTCGAGCCTGGCAAGGGGCGCAAGGCGATCATCCTCAGCGGGCGCGTGCGCCACATGCCACGGCTCGACTGGGGCCCGATTGAGCGCTCGGGCGGGCTGTCCGCGCCGGTCGTCGCGCACACGGACAACGCTGAGGAGGAGCACGTCGAGCTCGAGCGCGAATTCTGGGGGGTGCTGAGCACGGATGGGACGTTCCTCTTTGTGGGTGCGGCTGTGAGGGATGTGCTCGGCTGGGGCGCGGGCGAGGTCATCGGGCGCACGTTGAGGGATTTGATCGGCGGGGCGGCGCCTGCGGAGGCGCAGCGCGTGGTGGAGGAGGAGCTCGCAAGGGTGTGTGCGGAAGGCCCGGGCGTGGGCATGGATGCACGCACCGTAAGCTGTGAGATGAAGCGCCGAGACGGCACACAGGTATCTGTGCAGGTCGTGCTGTACCGTTCGCAGGACGGCACGGAGCCGCTGCAGTGGACGACGAGCCAGGCATCTGCGTCCGCGAATGCTATCCCGGATGCGAATCAAGGGCCGGTGGTGTGCCAGGTGAAGCTGTACGGCAGCGGAGGGAGGTCGCGCTCGGGGCTGGTGCACCACGTGGGCGATAGCGTGTTCGACGAGTTGCAGACGGCGCGGGGGAGTAGCTGGCAGTACGAGCTGCAGCAAGTCAAGTTTGCGAACCAGCGGCTCGTGGACGAGGTCGCGGCGCTCGAGGCGGCGATTGCGGCCAAGGCTCGCCAGCCCTCAACGCCTCAGCTCCACTTACCGTCGATGCACCAGGTCGTGTCGCCTTATGCGCCTGCGCACGAGTATGCAGAGTCGCAGATGCCGTCGTACCCGCCTCAGCGCGTCGACGCACACCCCTCGCAGGACTGGCGGATGCACGGCCATTTGTCGTCGTGGAGTGACCTGCAGACGGCCATGCCGATGATGCCCATGAAGCGGTCATGGGAGGGCGTAGGCGACCCCGGGGGGCCGACCTGAGACGGAGGTGGTGCGTCGTGTTTCCCTGCATGTTTGCATTGCTCGCTTTCGATGATCATCTGCATAGACCCATACTCAGTCGCATGTGCTTTCGTATTGCTATCGTTACCCGTTGCATGTACATATATAATGCTATTCGTGATCATATGCATTGTAATACCGTATATATTCCCTTTACGCGCGGAGTGGGTCTGGCTGTGTGCTCGACGAGCATCGCGCCGGTGGCTACCAGTCGCTTGAACCCCGATAACGTGGCAAGATCCTCGCAATTGCCGTGATAATATACTACTACATACCCAGAAAGACAAAGTAACGATAGTCGTAAATACAGCTATATACAATTAGCGTAGCGGGTCGTGCAATGCAGATGCAGATGCGGTGGTATGGTAAATAGCAGATGCGATGTCCGTTCGTGCGCGCGGGGCGTCCCTCTTTTGTCCGTCAGTGGGCCTCCAGTGGCGAATAGGCAATCATGGTCATGGGAGCGGCTCGCGATTGCTCGAGAGCCGGTTGAGGTGGATGTAGACGTCAGTGCCAAAGCCATCCATGGAGATTAGACGCAGGTCGCCGCCGAAATATCGCGCGTACTGAATCGCCGGTCAGCCGGAGCGTACCATACCCACTCGCAGGGACTCACCAGTCTTGACAGCGGCAGCCCGTAACCAAAGCCAGCCATAGGTGCCTTAAAGTCGCTCGCTTGAAAGTCCTGATCAATGTTCTGGCCCTCCATCGTCGTGTACATGTACGTCCAGATGAGGGGAATGGCGCTGCGAGGGATACCGCCGCCCTCGTCGGTGATCTTGACGGTGATGTCCTCCTTGCCCTCGACGACGATGACCTTGATCGGCGGGAACGCGTCCTCGGCGTCGGGTCCGAAGCGCTCGACAACCGCACGAAGAGAGTTCTTCAGTAGCTCAAAGCAGATGTGCGAGAGGTGTCCGGGGACGTAGGCGAAATGCAGTTCGCGCGGGCAGATGAGCTGCACGGGCGGGCCTTTGAACATTGCGTAGTGTTCTTCGCAGACGAAGCTGGTCAGAGGGTAAGAGATGTGCGGGAGAGAGGAAGGTGAACAGATGCATTACCGCGCGTTCTCGATCGCTTCTTGGACAATGTCGTGCACGTTCGCGCTCGTGCAGATGATCCCGACATAGTCGGGGTGCGGTTGCAGCGTGTTCAGCGCAATATCTGCACACCTCTTCAGTGGCAAGCATCAGGAGCAGTAGAGCACGCGACTCACGCTGGCCAATGAGGAAGCGGATGCCTATGCGGGAGAGGTAGAAACGGTCGAGCCAATGCTGCACGTCAAGGTTGATGTTGCGTGCATTCTGGGAGCGTTTCCACTCGAGCACGCCCTGCGCGACGGTCGTCACTGTCGGATCGTGCCGCCGCTTGATATGCTCGAGGGCCTTTGTGAAGCGGCGGTTGAAGTCCTGCACCTCGGGTGGCCAATTGATCGCCGATGTGTTTGCGTAGTATCTGCGCGAGGTCAGGACATAGATTGGGATGGTAGTGGAGCGCACTCACCTCCGCTCCATGGGAATGCGCAGCTTGTGGTGCCCGCTGTTGGCGTTACCATTGCCGTGCCCATTGTTGTGTTGTGAGGGGGGGAGTCCGACGCTGGAGGGGAACGCGCCATAGTCGTCGATAAAGAAGGGGAGAGAAGGGTTGGTTGTGGACTCGGGCAGGGACATCTCACTGTTGTTGACCATGAGGGCCTCGCGGATGTGCTTGGGTAGTTTTGGGGACGGAAAGGAGATGAGTTCCTATTGGGACGTGAGGGGAAAACTGATGCGGGATTGCTTGCGGACGCACCTCGAACGACTGGGCGTACCAATCCTTGACCTTGTGGATAGAGGGCATCGCGCTGAGGTTGTGCGGTAGCTGGTCGAGCTCCTTCACGCGATGGGCGAGGCGGATGGGCAGCTCCTCTGGAGCACATCAGCGTGTAGAAAACATTTGGAGATACTCGCGTACGCACCGAGGAGGAACTGGCTCGCGCGGAGGAGGGTGCCCTGGCTGGGATTCTGACCGAAGAGGACCATCTGCTGCAACGACACTGGGGATCGCGTGCGCATTGAGTGAGGGCCCGGGGGGGAATAGAGAACACTGACCGCCTGTTTGTGGGAAGGAGGCATAGTGGTGGATGCGCTCCCAGAGGCTGGGAGTGATGCGGAACATGGCGGGGGAGGGCAAGGAGGGAGGGCGAGTGCGGGGGAGGGCAAGGAGGGAGGGCGAGTGCGGGGAAGGACATGCGGAATGCGGAGAAGTTAACACTACGCCGAGTCACATGCGCATATAGTCGTCCGACGCTGTCTCCCCCGACTTTCGCGTCCCCGCCCTCCACGTGCAGTCGGCTGGCGGCTATCCTCTCCCCGGTCGACGTCGTCCTCGACCACAACGTCGACCACACCTTTCGTCTCAGCTTTCTTTCTCTCTGCCTGTGGGCATCTTCACATGCCTGTTGCACGCAACCCGAGGCTCGTCTCGACCATCCCCAGATCCCAACAAGCACTCCGGTTCGCGTGTCTGCCGGTATTCCGTTCGTCCGAGGAAGCTTATTTCCCAGCGCCAACTGCACGGTTTCAAGCTCGCGAGACAATCGATGTGGCCGCAATGCAAGCCAGGACCAATGCCGCCTCCTCTCCTCCCGCACGCCCATTTCGGGCTCAACAACGGATAGCGCAAGGCGAGTCTATGGATGTCGATTGGTCGGTAGCATGCAGGGTCGATCGCTGCTGAAGGTCAGGATGGCGGAACTACACCTCACTTCACCTGTGCGCCGCCTTCGGTGTCGCCTAGCCTCTGCAAACTTACACACGCTCGGCTATCATAGCGGTCGTTTCACATACGTATTCATATCCGCGACCACGAGCCTTTCGCCGTGCTGAAATGTTATGCAATCGTGTTGCAAGTGCAGTTTTGCAATGAATTCCAGCTCTCCGTTCATTCGGATGTCATTGACTCTGCCACCTCTCGCATCAGACATCTCAGGCCGTATCCGCCTGTCAATTACGGTGGCACGGGAGCATGCAGGCAATGCGCACTGTGTATACATCCAGATTGCGGCTGACCCGTCGATAGCTCTATGTGTAAATGAGCTGTCCTCAGGCGATGCATACGTTGGCCGGTGCGCGTTTGGCATGAATGAATAGCACCATGACCCGCTGCTAGCTGACAGGATTCCATTGTTCGAGATTGCATTTGCAAATGCATACATGAACCATCTTGCGTTAAACTCACAAGACATGTATAGACACACGATCATAACGCGCGATCTAGTGCATGCTGCAAGCGCATCTCGAGCGGATGCAAGTAGTCTCAGCGTTTCGTCCCAGCTGACCCGCCTTCGTCCCTGCATTTTCCCATCCCGTCCTTCGATTTGCGTCCGCGTGTGCCGCTGCACAGCACCGTATGGGTCCAACACGCTGGAATATGTCTCAGAAGGTACAACTGACCGTTGAATGGTGTCAGCAGCAGGGTGTCCTTCCGCCGGCCTTCTGTCACAACTGACTGTGAGGCTGAATGGGCAAAGGAAATCGGCAACCGAGCGAGCAAAGGTGTAACAAAGTCAAGGCAATGTGCACACCGTCTCGCCATGCGTTTGTGCCCAGAGCCTCGTCATAGACTTCTGTGCGACGTTTCTGTATAGGCATATTCTTCCGCTTCGCCTGCCAACCATGTGATAGTAGAAATATGTACCTCACTGTAATTCACCAAATTCAAGCTTGCTGAACGCATGTGAAGGTTGTTGAAATGGTCAGCAAAGCTGCACCGTGGTACAACGACAGACAGCGTTACATCAGCACTTGAAAGATATCAAACCAAGGCTTCTGTAGCACTGGCGAAGGTGATTGACTTGATGTAATTGCATCTTGAGAACAGGATTGGTGGTACTAACATTTTTGAATCACTACCAGTCTACAGCCATAGCACTATGTTAATAGTGATTCAAGATACCATGTCGTGTGCTTTTACTATGTCAGCCCCGTCTTTTAAAATACAGTCACATTGAATCAAAGCGCGAGCCTGCTCACCATCTTATACGGTGGAAAGGGCACGGAAGGACGATGATGGCAGAGACAGTCATGTCGTCGCAGCGGGCACTTGGGAACAATAAGAATAGGTATAGTGAATTGCTATGGTACGTGTACACATTCAACCAGCAAATAGAGTAGATGCCGTCGTCCCTCGAGAGCAGCCGCGGGGTATCAATATTGCTTCTGTCTCAAGCCCGCTCCAAGATCGGTCATGCATGCTGCTGTGTCCGAGGCCGTGTCACCTCTTCATAAATCAGCACTAAGCAACGAGCAGCGGTCATTAATGTCGTCTGCGAGATATTGAGGAACGCATCGCCCGCACCTTTGAGCTCCTCCTTTCCCAACGGCTCACCATAATCAAAGTCAAAGAAAGACGGGTCGATCGGCTCTGCAGTCGGCTCGTCTAGAGGATCATGGTATGCCTTTTCCATATCACCAGATGTCAGTTGCCCGCTTCCGCAATGTCAGCTCTCAATGCTTACTTCGAGGTATGGATGTTTCAAAGCCTCGTCCACCTCGATGCGTCTTTTAGGACTGAATGTCAGACACTTCTCCATCAAATCAAGGGCCTACAAGCATGTCAACAGAGACAAGTGCGATGTACGCGAACGATTCCGTACCAAAGGATTAGCATTCGGGAATAGCTGGTTGAACGGCTTCTTCTTTCTGAATGGAAGCGCGCGAATATACTCCCTCGATCGTGGAGACGTAATAGCATAGAAATCATCTAGTGACGGAGTGCCGAGTACATCCAGGATGATGGACAGTTGGTGATGGTCTGGCGACGAGCAACGACGTGGTGTAGCAACAACTTATCAGTACCCAATCGATACATGACACCTAACGACACATACAGTCACGTCCAGGGAATAGCGGCTTGCCACTGAGCATTTCCGCGAGCACGCAGCCGACGCTCCAGATGTCAATGGCTCGCGTGTACTCCTTGAAGGTCAGCATCACCTCAGGAGCGCGGTACCATCTTGAGCGCACAGTATCAAAATTGGCGCAGACACAGCCGAAGCGATTAAAGGAGCGAATAACGATGATGAGCTGCGCATAGACATCAGACTGACATAGATCGTCTTTCACCTTGTGGCGACATATTCTGTCATAAAGGTACTGCTGTCGTTGGCCACGTTTGGTGGTGGCCGAGCAGATCTAGCAAGGCCAAAGTCGCAGAGCTACGTCAAAGTCAGCGAGGCGTAACTTCAACATGCAGAAAGGTGTTATGGGCGAAATCTTCGATGCCGATCGCATATGAAGACAGCGAAGATCAAAAATATCGTAGCTCACCTTCAAGTCACAATTAGCGTTGAGAAGTAGATTTGAAGGCTTGAGATCGCGATGCAGCACGTCCGCAGAGTGCAGAGCTTTCAAGGCCCGGAGTGTCTGATCGCGTGGGATGCAAAAAAGCCGCAGTTTTCCCGGTTGAGAGGAGAGTCTCAGCGATATGAGAAACGTACCAGCAAACGTGAAGACAGACCTGGTAAATGAAGTACTGACAATGATCGTCACTCAAGTCTTGTGTCCGGATAACGCGGTGCAGATCGGTCTCCATCAACTCTTGGACGAGATAGACCTCCCTGAATTCAGCAAGGCTGGGAGGCCGAAGTATGTCTAAAATCGAGATGATGTTCTCGTGGTGGAAGTGACGCAGGAGCTTAATCTCGCGCAGCGTGCGCAGGCAGAACATGGAGTGATCGAATGGAGTGATTCTCTTGATTGCCACCTTCCGCTGTGACGGCAGGTGGAGAGCTGAGCTATGATAGTGACCGCTCTGCATACAGAGTTGGCTAGAAGATGTTGTAAGGGCAACGTACCACACTACGCCGTAGGCACCCTCGCCTATCACATCCAGTACTTGGTAGTTTGTGCCGACCACAAAGTTGGCGGCACCGCGTTCGGTGTCGGGCATGCTGGAGTTAGTTGAGGGAGTTGCGACGCCAAGCTTGCCAGCGTTCTGCGGCCGCACAATGATGTGTTGTCCGCGAGGAACAGGATGGAGGAGAGCAAGAGTTGTGACTGCGGTCAATCGCAGGCAGCGGTATTGTTAGGTAGACTGTAGTACAAGCGCCCGTGTAACGAAGACGGCTACTGACAGATGCCGCATTAGGAAAGAATGGAGGTAATAAATAAGTCGGCTTTTGCGGGAAATGGTTTCTTCCTTCAAGGAAAACAGCCGTAAGCCACGTGCCGCAAGGACTGCAGCAGGGAGTGTCCGAGTTAGGACGTCCGTCCTCGTCCACTGCTCGTTTGCGCTGCTGCAGCCAACCTTTCACTCCCATCTTGACTGTCAATTCTCCTGCGACCCCTCTGTGCGTTCTGCTTCATAAATGCCAGCGTCCGACAACAGGAAGGAGGATGAATCTCTCCACGATTCGGGCAGAGACATCGACCGTGACAAGGACAGAGAAAAGGGCGGGAAGGTCAAGGGCCCTTCAAAGAGTATGTGACCAGACGTCTCAGAGCTACCACATTGTTTAAGTAACGACGTACCGCACTGCAACAGCGAAAGACCTCTCCCATGTCCCTTGCAAATTTTTCAGAGTTGGTTCGTGCACAGCGGGGCCCTCCTGCCCGTTCTCCCATGCCGTCCTCGAGCCTGGCCAGCAAAAAGAAGTATGCGCTTGGTTCGTCAAAGGCAACTGCAAGTTTGGTCACAAGTGTGCGCTTGCCCACATCCTGCCTGGCCAGAGCATGTCCATGGACAGGAAGAACAAAAAAGCAGCGCAGCTTGCTGCTAACGCGGCCAACGCTCCGGGCGGTGGTGGACGTGAGGGGTCACGGGCTGCTCGATCGCAGAAGAGCGGGTCTCATGGAGGCAGCAGCTCGCAGTCTCGCAATGCTTTGCTGTCCGGCTCAACCGCGCCCACTCGGGCAGTCTCGAGCAACTCGCGATCAGGCATCCCCATGCAACTCAAGACCACTCTGTCTCCTTCGACGCCTGCTCCTCCTGTGAAGGATACTGACTTTGCGTCGTTCGGCCTCCCAGACGAGAGTAACAAACTTCCCAGTGCCCCCGCGCAGGGTAAGTCTGCCGCTCTGCAGATGCCAACCGACATGACCCCGCATGCGAGCGAAGGCGACCAGACCGATGTTATCAAGGCAGAGGAGATGATGAAGGACGAAAGCAGCACTCCATCGACTGTTCCGGCGGGCACGCCCATCGATTCTCGTCGCGTCGGAGAAGCTGAGAATGGCTCGTTCAATGCGGCGGATTTTGGACCGATTGGTTCACCAACGCATTCGTCCCCATCTGCCATAAAGCCAATGCGCGCACATGTGAATGGCGTTTCCCCTGGCACTTCTCCGCAAACGCATGGGTTGTCATCCTCGCCCTTCTCGGCACCTGGAACGCAATCCGTTTTCGTGTTTCCCGAGCAGGAGGAGTCTGTGAACGTGTTCAAATCTCGTTCAGGCATTTCTGCCTCTCTCGGTGCAATGTTCAATTGGTCAGCAGATCGACCGTCTCCTCGGGTGGAAGGATTCAGCGCGGGAGGCATGGTCAATGAAATAGTGGTGGAGGATGAGGACCTGGAAGAGTTTTTACCGAGCTCCTTGACTGATTTGCTTACGCCTGAAGAACGCTCCAGACGTATGTCACGTACGAAAGGAAGCCGTGCGGGCGTGCTTGCGTCTGAGCGAGATCCTGTGGTTGGCCAGCGGCCAGGCAGCGAAGGGCTCCATCACAAATACTCGCGCTCTGTCCCTGCACCGTCATTGTCGCACGACATCAGGTCGATCTGGGCCGACAGCAATGACAACAGTGCGTTAGATCCAGCTATCGCCAGTGGTGGACTTGGCAATGGCACCCCGAGCTCTTTTCAGTCCAACTCTGCATTAACCGGCAGACCGTCCGGTGAGGATATCCTTGCCCCGTCCAATGCCTCTGCAGCGTTCCTTCCTGGACTTCATCATCACTATTTGCATGCCAAGACGCAACGAATCAGTCTCCTTTCTGGAATGACTCCTCTGCACTCGGCTTCTGGTAATAGCATGTCTCACTACTCGAACATTTACGGAGCAGGACTCAGCGCGGGAACGATGTCCCCCCCTCGCACAAATGTGCTCGGGAACCGCACCACCTTGGATACCGTTTCTTCTGATATATACCATCCCCACTCCTCGCTTACTCCTTCGGGCCACCCAATACAGAGCAGATATGATGACTTCGCCACAGAAGGAGACGAGCGGCACACGGCATTCTCCCCATCGGCTCGGGCACTACAGGCGCATGCTCCCGGACAAAGTCTACCTCAGGGCCTTGCCGCCGGTTACTCTCGGATCCATGCCTTGCCACCGCCGCCAGTTATTCCTTCTCCGTCAACACCTGGTGCATTTAGTCAAGCGGGTGGGGTTTCTCCAGGCACAAAGATGTTCGGCCACGTGCAGAGCGCATCGGGCGATTGGCATAGCATGCCATCTAGCACTGGGAATGGCTTGGACCATACGCCCGGGTCGCAGACCCTCAGTGGGCAGACTGCGTCGGTTGGTAGTTTACAGGCTGTCTTCTCACGTCTCTCGTATTCTGCAGCTGCGTCCAGTAAGCATACATCTCCCCAGTCATTTAAGGCTTACTCACTCTCGTCCTATGTAGGAGGAGCGACTGCGGCTCCTCGTATCACGAGCGTACGCAACGCGAACCCGCCTCAAGGCCTGTCGAGCCCGTTGAGTGGTCCCGTCTTGACTGGCGATGATGACGATCTGTTCAGCATGGATGGATGATTTTTGTCGTAGGATCAATATACTATCAAAAATGGCTGGACTGTTCGGCAGGCCTTTACAAGCTGACCAGGGCAAGGCGCATGATCTGATGGTGATTCCCCGGTGTTCTGTCGCATTCAACGCTCTGTATAGTGCACTGTTGTTCTATTTTACACGATGTACATCTTGCATGGCCTCTAATTCAACGCGTTACCTTGTAGTATCTCTAAGCGCTCGTGTCATGCGCCGATTATGTAGATCTTATGAAGATTTTCCCGCTTGCTCTCAGCCACATCTCACATTTCCTGTTGTGTTTCCGTGTTCCTCCAACTGCACAAAAGATGGCTCTCCTGCATTCACCTCTACCCAGCTCATCCAGAAAGCGCAAGCCTCGATCTGAAGATGACACTCCGGCCCTCGTCGAACAGCTCGAAAATCAGCTCATCACTGCAATATCAAGCAAATCCTCGCTCAACAAGCTGTCTGATTTACTCAACATCGCGCTCAATGCACAGGATGTCGCGCACTTGTCAAAATCTGTCTATGCATTGTACAGGGTGTTCGTGTCCGTCATATCGAATGGTATGCTGCTTTCCCGCAATCCCGACGAGGCAGCGGAAGCTGTTCATGCTTGGCTCATGGACAAGCTAAATGTGTACGTCGAGCTATTGACTGGCTTGCTCAAAGATGAGGAACCTGTTCTAAGAGTGCGTTGCAACTATCGCTATTTGCTTTTCTTGCTCTCTCAACCACGGAAAGACGTCTGCGTTGCAGGTTTTGCTATCGCTACAGAAACATTTATCCACGTCACTATCTGCCTCATCGTCGTCCTCGCAGGAGCAGCCACAGTTTTACCTGTCGCACTTTCGCAAGATCGTCACCGCACTCCTATTCTGCCCCCCTTCACAACGCAGCTCGCCGACTGCTAAGAAGCAGAAATTTGAGAACGAGTCTCAGGACAATGCATCAATCGAACCGGATGTGAAGGAATTGTTTGTACGGAAATGGCTCGACGTTTATGACGATATCCGGTGGTTTTTCTTGAGAGAGTCTGGGTACGTCGCGCGACTGCTTTGCAAAGACGCTAATATCATACGCTGCACTTCAGGAATATAGTCGCTCGTCATCCCAGCGAGAAAGGTGGCTCCGCAGCCGTAAACCTGCTCAGCATTCTCGAAGGCCTGACGACCTGTCCTACTGAGGCTTCCGAACTCAATACCTGGTGGGTTGAGGAGTTTGGCACTCGCCCACGCGCTAGCAAGTCGACAGGTTCAGATGAGGACGAGGCAGATGAGGACGAGCCTGTAGCGGACTTGAAGGATGACTGGCGAGCGTTCTTCGATCAAGAACCCGCCAAGCTCAACAGCACAAAGTCAAAGGGTTCCTCGGCTCGGCTGCACACTTTGACTTTGCACGAGTCTCTTCACTCTCTAGCTTCTCATAGAGCAGTTTTCACTCACGCATGGCTTGCGCTGCTTCCGGCTCTATCAGCAAGGCCATCAGACTCGAAGGCGCTCTCTCTCCGAGTTCTGAACGTTCTGCACAGAGGAGTGATCCCGCATTTGACGCGACCTATCCTTATCATGGACTGGGTCAGTACGTGTGTTGACTACGGTTCGTTTCCTCAATGCGCGGTTGTGAATGGCTAATAGTTTGCTTCCCACAGGAGGCGTCGTGGGCTTGCTTGCATTGAACGCGCTCTTCGTCCTCATGAAGGAATATAACCTGTCAGTGAAGACGAAGCTGTCGCTGTCCGTCTATGGCGCGTATGCTAATGCTTGACAGTGACTACCCCTCGTTCTATACACGGCTCTATGCCTTTCTTGACCGCGATGTCTTACATTTGAAGCATCGGGCACGCTTCTTTAGGCTGACTGAATTATTCTTGAGTTCAACGTGCGTGCTTACTGGTTCTTTGACCTTGCAATTAATGACTCCTTCCATGCAGGCATCTTCCGGCAGCCCTCGTGGCGAGCTTCGTCAAGCGGCTATCCCGACTGTCCTTGAACGCACCGCCAGCCGCTGTGGTAATGATCATTCCATTGGTGTATAACCTGTTCAGAAGACATCCCGCACTCATGCCAATGATTCATCGTACGGACTACGATACGACGAAAGGTGCATGTCGCGTCGCCCTACGAGTCGGCACCGTACTAAAGCCTCCCCTCAGATACATTCCAGATGGATGAGGCTAATCCTGCTTTGACAAATGCGCTGGACTCGTCGTTGTGGGAACTCTACTCTCATCGGCAACACTATCATGCCGTAGTGTCGACAATGGCATGCATCTTCGAGGAGGCATTTACGCGCCCCGCATACTCCGTGGAGGATTTTCTTGACCATGCATATGGGACGGTGAGGGAGATAGCTCTGGTCCTTTTCTTTGACTGACGCATCTGTTTCGCTAGATGTATGAAGCTGAAGCACGTCGGAGAATTCAAAAGGGACCAGCAGCCAATATGGATTGGCAATTCGGAAAAGACAACAGTACAGCCGTTGCATTGTGGGGACTGTAAGATCCCGTTTCGAATACATAGTCGCTCGTCAGCGACCAGAATCCAAAACTTTGCTGTCGTGAAAGCAGAATATATGGAACCTACAGGTTGTACACCCTATATGCCCTCCTCCTCGTCTTCGTCTCCGGAGACCTCTGCATTTTCTTGACCAGCCTTGGCCATCAACTGCGCAAGGTCATGCTCCTCGGTCTCTGAGATGGCTTTAGGCTGTCAAAAGCATCGGAGTCAGTCATAACCATGTCAAATAAGACACGAATGTCTTGCCTTCATCTTGACAACAAGTGATCCACCATTATTTTCGATGGTATTTTGAATCGATTCGATCGCGCGCTCTAGCCGATCTACTGCGGCGTACTGCACAATGGGCAATTTAGAAGAGCACACGATAGCATACTTGATCTGGCACACCTTGTCTGTAGCATTAGTACTCAGCACGTAAAGCGGCGGTGCTACAAGTTTCGCCTTGATCGGTACTGCTTCGCTACTCTCGCGTTCGCCAGCACGAAGAGCTTTCTTGATCGCATCGATCCCGGCAGGCGTATAGCAAGTTAACTCGATGTCCGCACGCAACTTGATCGGCTGAGGAGTCAGACGCCGCGCTATCGTGCTCATGAGAAGATTCTTCGTCGATAGTGGGATAGCGTTCGGCAGTGAAGAAAACACTGCCTCTGGCTCCCTGAGCGTACCAAGCATGTGTCAGCGTTGCATTAGGCAGACGAGAATGGCACTCACGTCAACGCCAACTTGAAGGCATCGTATGGGTGGCCATACTTCTTGCCTAAAGGCCAGGCAATCTGCTCGTATAGCTGCTCCAAACGCTCCTCTTCATTCGAATCTGTCGGTGGCATCTGCTCGGGAATCTGATCCTCCAGCCCCTCTTTCCTCGCTCTCCTTGCCTTTTTCACTTCTGCGTTGTTAACGAGCGCATCAGTATCGCCTTGAGCCTCTGATCCGTCGTCATTGACTGAGGGCAACTTGGAAGCAACATGGCGCAAGATTGAGGCCACAGTTTTAGACTTCGTGTAGCGTTCTTCACATTTAATAATGTCTTCAGGTGATACTCGCCGTTTCGACAGATCAATATAACCTATTGAGACGCATACGATGTGCAGAGGTTAGAAGGAAAGACGAAGCGTGACGTACCCTTCTCTTTGTCCACCCGCAGGACTACCACAACCTCGTTCCTTCCTACCCGAATCAGTTTTTGTATAGACCTGATACGTCTTCGTGAAAGCTCAGAAAGCAAGATCATTCCTTCAATATTGTCATATTCAAGCTTTCATAGATCAGACTTGAAGTATCGAAGCACAGAACAAGAGTCCTCACGAGCTTCACATAAGCACCCATTTCCGCAATCTGACGAACTTGCACCATGACAAGTTCGTCAACTTCGGGATATCGTTGCTCGTAGTACCGCATGATAGACTAGAATGAGGTAAGATATCCGGTGATTGTGCTTGCAGATTGTGCTTGCCCCGACATCGCATTTCCCACCGTCTCGGCAACTGCCGCAGCGCGCGGTGGAGTCACGGTGCTATGCTCGTGACTTCTTTTTTTAATTTTTTGAATTCATTTATATACATATATATCCCGAGAATCATTCACCTATGTACAGGCATAATGAGAGGGGTCGTATCTATCACTGCAGACATGATACCATTTACCACTGTGAAATATGTTGATTTGATCCTTTGCCTTTAGGAAACAAATTTGCCAGTGTGACAAATGGTGTTGCATATTCTTACTTAAGGCCTCAAGTTGAAACAGCTATAAATGATGCCACATATTTTGCCTTGGCCTCAAGCCAGAGATTTTAAATATTGCATGCAAAATATAACAGGGTTGAGAATAGTACCACAAACTAGCAAAGTTTCCCTCAGAACAAAGCATATAGATGTACATTTGCAACAATGCTACATTTTGTATGCAATGTTCAGGATTTGTAGAAGAGGCTTAGTCAAAATATGTGAATATAATTTGAAGCCATTGCAAATCAAGCTTCAAGTTTATAATATCCAATGTCATTTGCCACAGTGACAAATTCAGTTTCTAAAGGCAAAGGACCAAAGCAACATATTTCATGGTGATAAATGGCATAATGTCTGCAGTGCATAGGTCTGGGTAAGGAGGGTGGGTGTAGGAGATAGGGACACTACGTCCACCTAGTGTTTCTATGGCTTGGCTAGAAAGCTGCTAGCTGGCCAAGCCAAGCTGAAATTGCCAGAGCCAAGCTGCTCGAGTAATGATGAGTTTAGTGTTGATGAGATTCATACCTGAAATACTCGATAGTGGAGTGGAGCCATCAATAGTGGGATAGCAGCACTGATAATGTGATTCTCACAACCTCGATAGTGAGATTTGTCACAAATACAGTCCTTGTGACCCTAACCATTCTCATATAAATACCCTAAGCACCAGCATTAAGCGCTGGACTGGACTATACATCACTTAGTCAGGTATTCAAGTGCACATCTGTATATTAGACGGATGGTGCTGATGCACATAGCATATATATTACATATGCTGGTATAGAGGATAGGTTAGAACGGTTGCCTGAAAGGACTAGATCCAACTTATAGTCTCATATCCTCACGTGGTCTCCAACGAGCTATGCTGCTATATGGACCTATAGCGGAAAGGTGTCCAACAAGCGTAGAACGAGGGAGAAAGCAGTCACGTGACTAAAAGCCCCTACATGGAATGCGTCACAAATGTGCCGATCATACACAATCTGACACAATGGATCGTATCTCGATCATAGTTCTCAAGGGAACCATTGAGTCCTCAAATAGATTGTATCAGCACGTGACTTATCAGGATCAACCAGAGATCGATTGACTAGTCACCTATATTGCGGCCCATAATAGTCATGAAGATAGATCTCATAGCATCTATAAGACTGAATCACCAAACCCAATCCTAGTCTCATCAGAGACCTGTTGAAGGATCAGAGAAAGGCAGTCTACGCTATCAATATCCCGAAGATACGACGGAATGGCTCCCTAATAGACTTAGCATATGTGACAACCCGATCCCTGAATAGGATCCTCAATAGGGTTGCATCATTAAGTCTGGGCCATTCCAGAGCTATATTAAGATAGAACATCTGGATCATTCACATGCATCACTCGGCGTACACATTACGTACACCTATGATGTCATGAGTCCAGAATGTCTCAAGCACACATCATGTGCAGCTCAGATCCATATGACTAAGTCAGAAGTCTTGGATCCAGCTACGAAGATAGAATAGAAGTCAAGAAGTGCGGGGTAACCCCACACTTGTATTAGTCTTGGCCAATATCAAGTTAGTAAGCCAGAACACTGTCGGCTGTTTCACCGACAGATGGGGATAAGTATTGCTCGGTCAGAATCTCAGATGGAGATATCTTGGAATTCCTCAGTTAAGGGTACTCACACCACAAGGCATGGTCCAATAGATACACGTATGTAGTTATATTTAGGTCCTAACTGCGCAAAGGTCATCACAATGTAGTGGCACCATTAGAAGGTATTTGATGCAGCACCTCGCCATTGTGTACTAAAGATAGGATTCCCATCTGTCCTCGATCTGTGGGTCCACCCACGGTATCAGGGGTCCTCAGATCTATTACAGGGATCCTAGTATACAGTGTATTATAATAGTAAGTAGGATAGACGGTATATCAGGGTAATCCCCTGCTTGTATATATATCGCTACCAACTGGGAGTAGATCCCCAGTTCTATCATACTTCTCCACCTGGGGCTCACTCTTTCTCTGAGTCCTGGAGGGACTGGCTAGCGATCCAGGTCAATGACCATCCGACATAGGACTTCAGGCTGCCCAACTGAGGGCCTGCTTGTAGTTGACTCATGAGAGTCATTATCCTGCCACCACCCGCTCAGTCGACATATCATGCTCAACCTCCCCAAGTTGGTTCTGGATGTTAGAGGTAATTCATGTCTAGTCAGGATCACATTGGTGCCGACACATTAGCTTGTGTTCGGAGGATATTCCTGAGTGATTCGTGACATTATGATAAAACTCACAATAAGCGGTCCCTCACCACTTGTCCATTGAAATATATGGCATCCACCCACACGATAGTGGTGTTATCTCTTCACCTGACATTCTGTCAGTCGCCAGCACTACCCAATGCTCTGTGACATTGAAGAATAACACTTGGATGCTGTACGGACACCTAAGATCCCTTAGCAAAGGATCTTACTAGATCAGACGGGTGTATATAAGCTGTGAATGTGCCATAGGCGTAATCAGTATAAATACATTTAACTCTGGTTTAGGTTCTGTCTTGTATGAAGAGTATCTTCTCTTTGGTCTTCTTGCAAACAAGAAGCAAGCTTACAAGACCTTAGGACCAGCTACCTATCGAAAGCTTTGTATAATGATATAAATAATATATAAGAATACCCTCATCGAATATTATATAAATCATTACAATGAAGATTTTGAATCATCATTGCATTACTCACACACGAATACCGAGTCACTTCATCTACCAAGCAATACTACTCAGTAGCTTCATCCACTACACGTATTCATCACTAGTTAACTCTATGTCACAGTATGACCCTCCATGCCACATGAAAAACCTAGTATATATAGTTCGAACCTAGTGCTAAGCCAAGCTTAGCATTACCAGCCTTTTGGTGAAGTGGTCTATCGTCATAATTGGTATTGGTTCATAGAGATTAGTTCTGGTCCCATGACAAAATGCTAAGCTTATCTAAGGTCACTGGTTTGAACCTCTGGTCTGGCAGACTTATAGTGCAAGTTAGACATGGTTATAAAGGTCATGCAAGTTAGTCACGAATAGGCTAAAGATGTCGAATCTTGCAAGTCAGTCATGATCAATGGAAAAGGAGGGTGGTCCCATCCTTTCATGCAAGTTAGTCACTATAGACCCAGAGAGTTAATGATGTGAACCCCTGACTACAACCAAATAGGGTTCACCAGCTATATACCCTGGTTGAGGTTGGTGCTATATACCTCTCAGGACGATTGGTCTTGAGAGTGGGGTAGTGTCACAGTATGACCCTCCATGTCACATGAAAAACCTAGTATATATATGTAGTCTGAACCTAGTGCTAAGCCAAGCTTAGCATTACCAGCCTTTTGGTGAAGTGGTCTATCGTCATAATTGGTATTGGTTCATAGGGATTAGTTCTGGTCCCGTGACACTCTAATCCATAAAAAACTATTATGGATCTTCCAATAGTGCAAAGTGGAGCCGCTATTCCACTTACACCATCTTTTATCAATCATTCCACATCTAAAGTAAAGATGTATTGGCCTATATCTACCATCGGGCTTTGGGAACAAATCCCACAAAGTGATCAGTGAAGGCTCATAAATGCCTTACAGCAGTACAGACGATGGGCAGGAGAAGGGTACTTCGAACATCAGAGTGTCAAATTCTTCATCCAACCAGGAGCACTTTGGTATCAGTGGTGACTTCATGAAGTCCACCATGTCACAAAATACCAAGTGTATTATCTAAACTGGTGGGACTGGATAAATTTCATCGAAGAAATTATTGTCAACCTCGATGAAAGGCCCGTAACCTGCCTGTCCTTCCACCAAAGAAGGAAGCTGTACTGTAAGGTGCAAAAAGCGAGACAAAAAGGAGCATATCACGCCTCCGCCTCATAGCATCTATCACTCCCATGTTAGGTCAATTGGAAAATTGACATAAAGGGAAAAAGGAAGAATACATGTCTGGCATGACAATCGAATAATTACCCCTCATATGAAAGCAACGGCAGCTTTGAGCGCCATTATGTTAACTTTTAGGTAATGATTGTCGTGACTACATCACAGTCGCATCCCTCATGTTTATTACACATGCTCCTCATTATCAAGCAACCTTGACGCTGCAAGATTTAAGAAATTCAGAGTTAAATCACAACTCTTTTATACGAATTTCTATTGAATCACCCAAGGAATACTAAAGAAAGCAAGACCTTGCGTTCACTCCAGATAGTCAGATGCATATTCCTGGCTATAGAGGAACAAAGAGCTCGCTATAAGCTTAATTAGTAAAGGGTCCTGGCAGCCTATGTCAATGTCCTTGTCCTTCCAGTAAAGGGACCAATTGAGGATGTCGCTTAACTTCAATATAAAATATTCGCAATCCTGTGTTTCGTAAAGCGTATGCTAGTAAGCAACAGAAGCCAGGCTCGAGCAAAATAACCAGTAGCAAAGGTTAACTCGAGCCACTGCATCTAAGAAGTATAATGGCAGCTTAGAAGCGCCATTACATTATATCTTCAGCAGTCTAGGTTATATCACAACCATTTCTGTTGCCGTACACATATTGGACAACTGTAAAGACATCTTAGGCAGGTTGTATCGAATCAAATGATACACCAATAAACCTCTGCATGATCAATAAAACCAACTGCATATCATACAAAT